AATCCGAGACCTCTTAAGTGAACTAAACAACCGGACTCTGGTCCGCTGTAATAGGTGGTCTCGGAACGCTTGCTAGTGAACTCTGGAGCGGTTCATTGCTGGTGAATGCAGGAAGCGTAGTATTTACGTGTCACAAGAACGCGGATATCTTCAAAATCTTTAGCGAAAGAGTCTTTCAAGACATCCGCGGTTGTTTAGTTAAAGAGTGAAGCAGAATGAAGTGTTGAACAGTGTCGTGTAAAGTAAAAATTATCCGTCAGCTACATAAAAGAAACAATTTCCCCACGAGGGATTAATAAAAGTCCATTTTAAAGTAAGAACACCTGTTGTCGGTGAAACGCCCCTGCTTACTGCAGAACGTCTCTCATTATATGTGTTATAATGTTTTTTAACGGACGTTGTCTGATTATATAATCATATGCGCCGTTGCTGTTGATATGCTCTCCAGATTAACAGCAGCATGAGAATAACCTGCCGAAAGTGCCGATGCTCCATGGCGGAGGCTCCGGTAGAAATTGCCGGGACTTGCGTTTTTACCCCCTTAATGTCTGACCAATGGTTGAACAGCATTTCCGTGCACATGACTTGTGTTTAAAGTTTATAGTCCGTTTGAGTTTTGCCCGTGTGAACGCAAACCGAACTTTCTGAAAAATGAAACAATGAAACAAACTGTGGTCTGGTGCGCACCAGAGACCGGACTATTAGGTGTGAATGCGACCTCAGAGATAAGTGTACCTTCCTCCAGCTTGTCCTTCCCATTGTCCTTCTCACACTCTTGTTTCAGGAAGTAATGAGTAATGTAGAACTTAAAGTCAGCAAAGTTGATATCCAGACACTTTTCCCCCCAGGTGCCAGAGGTGTATTCACCCTATGTTCAAACAAAGAATAATGAGACATGAGTAAAGGTGAAGAACCTACTGGTGTTTGTCATGTGAACATGTGATGCTCATTGAGAGCAGCAGACCTTCTCTGGGTTCACACTCCCTGCAGAGAGGCCGATCAGCTTCCATTCATTCAGCACCTCCTCCACTCTGGACACAAACCTTTCAAAGGAGAGACGAGTTGAGCTGTCAGAGGCAGGCATTGGTTGGATATAAACAGAGCCTTACTGTATGTTGGCATGTATCAATAAACGTTTGTCTGGACATGAGCTATCTTGGTATTAGTTAATTAGTCCATTGACAGTTTGTCATCAATATAATGGCGCATAATACTAATCAATTCAATATTATAAAAAGCACAAAACCCATAACCCTTAAACCCATTCTCTGGCTCTATCTGATCAAATCTGAATAATGGCTGCTCTTCATCTTCACATTTTTTTAAGGGGAATATATTTGGGCTTAAGATTGATGGTAATCCAAGTGCACTACTATACTATACCCACTATAGGTGGTCTGCTATCGATTTGGCAACAGGCTATTTCTTTGATATTATTTACAACACAATGTGAACATATTGCTCTAATTACACAGATCTTCAATTCCCAATAGAATGTCCTGATAGTGGCTCAGAGACTTTCTGACCGGATCTACTATGCATCTGTGAGGTGAGGGTGCAAAGGCTTGCGGTGAAGACAGCTTGTTGTTCTATAGTTACCTCCCCTGTTTTCATTCAAACAATGCGTACATTACACATTTGAAGGGCTTTATTTTTGAAATATCCAATCAGAGTGTCCTGGTATTGACTCATTGACATTCTGAAGAGGTATGCTATCAATCTGAAGTGAAACCATTGCCAGGCAACACGCCTTTTCCTTTGAATTTTAATATACCAATGTCATTATAAAATATCCTTTTCACGTTTCATTTTGCCACACTTACTGACATTAACAAATAAAGGTATAATTTCCAGAAACACCAGAGTTTAGCTTTTATTTTGAAGTCCCTTCATCCATGTTCCTACAGTAAACAGAGATGGGAGAAGTACTCAGATCTTGTACTTAGTAAAAGTAGAAGTACTCAGACCTTGTTCTTGAGTGAAAGTACCAGAGTGTAGGAATACTCTGTTACAGTAAAAGTCCTACCTTCAAAATGTTACTCAAGTAAAAGTAGAAAAGTATCAGCATCAAAATATAGATAAAGTACCAACAGTAAAAGTAGGGTTTGGTAGGGATTGCATGCTTATTGTTTCCATGTGTATTTGTACAAACAGTGCATAGGAACAACTTAGCTTAGGACTGTGTGTCATGGCTGGTAAAGGTGCAGCTAGTTTGAATGACTTTGTATACTGCAGGGTAGCTTGTGAATTTACTCCAGGTGGAACTAAAGTCTGATTTAACACTTGATTATATTTCACATAATTCATCCACATGTGTAAAGTAACTAAAGGTATTCAATACATGTAGGGGAGTAGAAGTACACCATGTACCTCTGAACTGTAGTGGGGTAGAAGCAAAAAGTAGCATCAAATTGAAACATTCAAGTAAATTACAAGTACCTCAAAGCTGTACTTAAGTACAGTACTTGAGTAAATGTACTTAGTTACTTGACACCTCACAGTTCCTACAATAGACTCGAGCCGCAGAACGGGAGGAGGCTTCACAAACTTCACATGACTCTATCATTGTAGCCTACACTAGCTCACTTCATGTTGATGTGTACCAGGGAGAATGCTAATATTGTTCGGACTTCATTATGCACACTGGTAGCCTATTTGACAGCACGTTCTTGACAATAAAACAGCAAAATGTTCCCAATATAATAAGATAAACATGATGTTAATGATACCCCAGCAGCCATGGTGTTACAACAGTTCTCAGTTCCTTCTGACATGTCATGTTGTCTTACCGTTCCCACTCTGACGCGGTGGTGAAGTCGGTGATCTCAAACACCTCTGACTCAGGCTGCGAGAGAAACAAACGGGTTCATTTAATTTAAATACATATATATTATAATCTGCCCTAAAGCAATACACGCTTAAACAACAATGCTAACCCTTCTATATCGAGTTATTTGACTAAAGAAACTCACATCACTGTCAGCAGCCATGTCGGTGTCGTGTTGTTGTTGACTTTTTCCGCCTTCGTCACGTCCTGTTTCTGTTTCTATTTCCGGCAGGCTAGACGCTACGTGGCGTTCACTGCCCCCTAGCGTAAGCAAATATAATCAGAGCTACATTTGGAGTAGTCATTTATTAAAAATGCTTTTTTAAAGAATGTGCTCTACCATGGGATGGTAAAGATGGTAAATATGTGTTCTTGTGAGCAGAAGGAATCGAGTTCCCATATATTCTAACAAAGGACTATTGTTTCCTTTTATTTTAATACAGTCCCACTCAAAATGTGTATGTCACCTTTAAACGCCTCCACCTGATCTAACTGAGTCTGAAATAAATGACATTTGTTCCAAAAACTAAACTTAATGGGCTAAAACAATAGTTAAACACCATGGTTTATCCACGCCCAGTGTAATATCATGTTAGGCCTTACTGTCTGGGGAACATAGTCTCTTAAGGTGTTTATAGCCTATTGAAAATAAAATATTTTTGATTTCATTCATGAAATGTAGTGACATTTCTGTTAACTGCAACCTGTGGCATACTTTGTGTTACAATATATTCTGATAATGTAGATTCCACTCGAATCACTGCATGTTGCTCTGTCTAAAGATTTAGTTTTAGATATTGCAATACATGTGTTCATTGTTTTTATTTATTTCATCTTAAGCTTCTTGATGAAAAACAGAACACCCACATGACAGTAAGGATTGTGGATCAGTAGCCTCTAATACTAACCATTTAATAATCATAATAATAAAAAAATAACTTAAAAAACATGGGTTCTGGACACTAAATCGACCATATGTACATTCAAACCATAGATTCAAACATACAAAATGTGACTTAATTCTACCATAGTGTAAATTGGAAAAGCTGATTAATACAGCATTTCTTCAATCTAAATGTGACCTGCACACAATGTAATTTGCTTTGCTTTACTAAGCCGTTTTCACAGTAAGCCCTGTAGATTGTCCACACATTCACATATTCTTTATCTCCCTTTAAGGAGAATTTTTGGAAAAACACAAAATAGTCATACACTTATTAGCGAGATGCCTTTATTAGTCATAACAAAAGAATACTGGAAATATTACAATAATATAAGAGATGAGCATACACTGTCTCTTCCTTCTCCTCTTCACAGCAATCACTCCCCACGTCTGCCTCCGGTCAGCGGACTCTTCATAGACCAGGTGGAGGTCTCAGAGGTCACGCTGACTGCTGCGGGGGGGGGGGGGGGGTGTCATGAAATTAAGTGAGGGTCATGGAAGTCAGAGACAGCTCTGGGAGGATAAGGCCTTCCAGCAAAGACCCCAGGAAAGAGGAGATCCCCCTACTAGATCAGTTGTGTCCTAATACAACGGCGGCCTTAGTAGTCATTCACAACCTAACAGCTGATTTAAGGAAAGACACAGCATTTAGTGACACATTAAGGTACCTATTCACTATTCAAATACTGTAACAGTCACTAGTTTTGGCCCTCAGTAACACCTTGTGTTCACATAGATCAGTAACACGTTTGTAAGCTGGGAAAAATGTGCCTGGACAGACCCTTTTACCTTATCAGATATTATTATTTCCTTGTTTGCTGATCAGTGTGTCTATTTCATAAACACTGCCTTATGAATCAAGGTAAGCCCTGTCACGAGTTATCCATCTTGTAACGCAGCATCTTCATTTCTACACATTGTTTTTAGTACTGCAGGATACAAATAATAACAGTTTGTTACAAAATTAATATCTATTTTTCATTAGTACCAGGGCATAATAGTATTTAAGGGAAATTGATAAAAACAAATAAAAACAATCCCTTAAAAATAGACTGAATTCGAACGTGTTTTTTCAGCATGTCATGTCAGAACCATCTGTTTTACAAATCAGAATGGTTTATCAATATATTTGTTAAGTATTTAATGACACTGTTAGCAACTATGCACTACATTAATACACATATTTAGTTGTAGGATGCTTTCCATAATTTGTTTGTAACCGTTAACAACCTGCTTTGCATAAAAGCAAAATATTATGAAACCAACAGCAACACTTTTAAAGTGATATGATTGCTACCTCTCACACAGGTAAACACATTTCTTTTGGACAAAATAAAATATAATAAATACAAAATAAAACAAAAGAAAGACTCCAAATGTCCATATAACCAATACTATCAGGTCCTCTTTTGCCAGTCCACAAGTATTTTGTTTCCCATGGCAGTGTAACAGGGTCGTGTGTTTATACTGTTACTGAGCCTGCCTCTCATGCTATTCTAGGCTACATTCTTTTTTTATAGTTGTTGTGATGTTAGAAGCACAGGTGTAACATGGTGTGTAAGACAATCTATTACCATTTAGACATGTTAATTACAAATGATTGAATGATATTTACTGGCATCAATAATGCCAAAAACGAATTAATCCAGCAATGAAGTGTACTGGTCATTCAAATACATGCAAATGCTCTTTACTGATACGACGTTTGTAACAGTCATTTGGGGGTCAATGTTATCTGGTCACAACAGGAGGATACTAGGATTAAGAAAGAAAGTCTTATAACCTGCTGAGCTACAACCAAAATACTTCTTGGCAGCCTTTAAACACACGTCTCTTTTGAACACACCATGTCCACACTGCACTCTCCAGAGCCAGATGTTCTGAGTAACACGTTGATATGTGCATGATATTCATTGTAGCCTTGAACCTAACAACTTGTGGCTTGATATGGATTCAATGTCTGGTCACTGAAAAAAGTAACACAGGGATTGACCAATGAGCTCGTTACACATACTTCTATTACTGTCAAACTCAGAAGCTAATAGCCGTCCAATTCTCTGTATGGGAGACATTTAGAGGAAAATAAAAGAGTTCCTGAGATGTCAAATGATTTGTAAGTCCCTGGGAGACTGGTTCTATCTGAGCAGATGCTGTAAGAGCTGGTCTACTCACAGTTAAGATATCATTTGCCAATTTCCTCCATAATAACGGTAAGAAATGGGACACTTAAGTATTTATGTGTCTGCCTGCTTTGCTGTTAGCTACAGATACCTTTTTAAACTGCTCTCAGTTTGTCTTCCATTGAAGCCTGATAGCTTTGAGTATTGCTTGGTCATTTTATAAATAGATGGAAGGAGCCTGTACAAACATGTTATGTAATGAATGATTTTGTGTTGTGCATATTTTTCCCTAAATAGAAAAAATCCAAATTTTCTTGGATTCTGCTTTGAACAAAGCCTGTGTAAGTAGTTAGAACAGTCGTTTTCTAATAACTTCCTAACTAATTAGTTATTGGCCACTGTATAGCTGGCTCATGATAAGAAATACAAATTGGGATTCCTGCTACAATCCAAAAAAAGTTTAAATGAAATACAGTAACATAGGGAGACCTATCTTAGAATAGCTAAGGTATTAACTGACGGCACCATTTGACAGGAAGAGAAGAGCTCTGAAAGGTAAGAGAGTGAGTCCATTGCCTGAATTGATCAATGAGATTTGAGAAGGTGCATTAAGGTGCATTAGGGAATTTAGGGCAAAATGGCACAGGACTGAAACATGCTGTGTGTTATTCTAACAAGGTTAAAGGTCTACATCCTGAACTCACTGGGGTCAGACATGTTGGGAATGTTGTGGCGTTAGTATGCAGGTGGAGGTGTGGCTGGGGGGTAAGACAGGGAGCTGTGGATGATGGAGCTGATGGACTCCACCCCCTCCCCCTGCAGGAAGGAGCGGTGGTCTCCCTTGATGATGTGGACTGACAGCTTCCCATCACATACCTGGAGACACACACACACACACACACACACACACACACACACACACACACACACACACACACACACACACACACACACACACACACACACAAATCAGTATCTGAGCAGAGAGATATACAAAGACTTTCTGAGGGGGGCCTCGTCAACTAGCTATAAAGCTGAAGTGAAACATGAACATTCATTATTAATTAAAAAATAATAATATTCAGAGAAGAAGAAAAAAAGGAAATAATGAAAATTTGAAATCTGTGTTATATTTAAATAATTTAAAAACAATGGCATGTGTGGTAAAAAAAAATAACAGTAAGAAGAAAATTATTAAATAATCATAATAATAATAATAGTAGAATAAGTCAAAGAAGAACGAAAAGGAAACAAGTAAAAATAAAAAAGGGGAAAAAAATAGAAAAATGTGATTAAAAGAATAAATGATTATGGACATGACCTCTCTGAGCTTGTAGTCAGACCCCAGGTTCTGTTCGTACTCGCTGCTGGTTTTGGCTCGCAGTAACGTCACGTTGCCATGGAACTTTGTTGTGGGCACGTAGCCGTCAGCAGCCTTCAGCTTGTAGTAGAAGGTGGTGGCTGCGAAGTGCAGCAGCTCCCGGCTGATGTTCTTGTGGGCGGAGGTGATCAGGTCCACCGCCGTGCTGACCCGGGCCTCCAGGTCCGCCAGCGGGAGGAGGACCTCCAGGAGCTGCAGTGCAGAGAGACAGCCACGGTTATTTATAGAGCACATTTCAGCTATTCAAAGTGCTTTAAAAAACAACATAAAAAGGATTAAGGAAATACTTAAAAATAAACACTATTAGTTACATTCAAATACATTTTGTGTGCAAATGTCCGGGGCTGTGTACCTTGTTGTATGCGATGCCGGTGAACTGCTGGATGAAGGCACACAGGGCTTCAGTTTCAGCCTCAGACTCTTTGCCTGGGGTCAGCTTGGCCCTGTAACTCTGGAAACCAAACACTTAGTTAACATGACATCATCAACATACAGTTATTTTAAATGTTAAGATTTCCCCAAATGTGTAAATTGCTGTGTACTAAAATATCGTCAGATTATGGTCATGTTGGCTCTTTTCTCTCACCTGGGTGTAAGCTGCCACATAAGAGTGTGATCCGTCGAACAGGAAGAGGTACTCCACAGGTAGGTTCAGGGTCTGAAGCTGGGAGCACATTTCAAACGCCACACAGGCCCCAAAGGAGTATCCAGCGATCCGATAGGGCCCGTCCGGCTGCACCTGTCTGATGCAGTCCAAATAGAACGCTGCCAGAGACTCGATGCTGTCCAGAGGAGCGGCTGGGGGGGGGGGAGAAACAAGTATGAGCTTGATATATTGCATAATCGGTTTAGGGAAAAACACCTAATAAATATGGGATTTTAGGGTGCTTAGGAGAGGTTCTCAGGTCTAAAATGAGATGGACAATACCAATACATAGAACGTTTTTATCTGTATCTGGCTCTGAAAATAGCTTGAGGCAGCAGTTGCTAAGCCAATATGGAAAAGATTGGATATACTATATGTCTGGGAACTTCTAAACCAGTTACTCTAAGAGCATTTCATTGAAACCATTATGTTCCCTTTGTCCTATATCTGTATCTGTATCTAACCAATTTGAAACCAATATTTAAATTGATTAAATTCATGTTTAAGGGCTATTATAGTTAGGGTTATATTAGTTTTAGGGTACTTGGTTAGTGATTTTTAGCTTGTGAATGTTTCTGTATAATACATTAACTCTTTAATTCTAACAAGTGACATGTAATGTAACTCTTTAATTCTAGGTGTGTTAGTATATTATAAATGCTTTCTCTTTAGTGTCTGGGCCCCTATTCTAAAGCTTGGATAGCTAGTTGGGATGTCCCATTCTACAGATCTCCATCATGTCTTGTATTTTGAAGCTTTTTGTGAATAAGATGAATAGAATTGGTTAAAAAATAATACCTTTAGTGCATTGCAGGCCGTAGCAGGGAATGCTGAGTTTGGAGGTGAGAGTCTTGAAGGCGTGGATGGAGCCCTCGATAGGATGGACGAGGAACAGGGCCCTCTCCTGGCTCTGAACCTTGTTGAGGGGGGTCACCGTGGGGCCGTCGGGGTTCACCAACAGCTGGGTCAGATCAGACTCCAACAGAGCGTGAACGCTTTCCCTCTTAGCTGCGGTGTTATGAGAGTCTGGAGATTAGGAAGTAGCAAAGACAGAACATTTATCAATAACAAAGAACTGGATTTAGACTGATCTCTCAGTGATATTTAGTCATGATCCACTCTTACTATTACCATTTGTTCCGCTTGGCTTGCTGCTGGCCAGCTCTCGCAGCTTGTTGATGGTGATCTGGCGGATTTCCCTCATCGCCATGACGATGTCGTAGTCCCGCTCCAGAGTCTGGCGAACTTCAACACCCATCAAAGAGTCCAGGCCCAGGTCAGCCAGAGAGGCATCAGGGTTCAGGCTGCTCACATCCCGCACACCTGAGGGGGGGGGGACAGTTAGGATCCTGCTTACTATGACTACAAAGAATTAGGGTAATGATTGCTTTTGGACCGATTTTTGGTTAAATGCCTTGAATAGAGAAAATGTTTTAGGTTGGGTACTTTAACTCCTGTTAGCAGAACAATTTTGCTACACAATTCTACTTTAAGAAACAAATGATTATAGGTGTATGGCAAATCGTATTTTGATCTGTATAAACAAGTCATTTCTTTTCATTACATATAATTATTTCAACCCCTGTACATGGCTTTGTGAAATCCGACCCTTGTGACTTAAAACGTATATTAATATTTTTAAAGGCATTTCGCAGAATATTTATTATATGCAGTATTTATATTTGAGATAATTATTTTACAAGCTATGCTTTTTGGCCTCAGGCTTCTACTAACTTTGTTTTGTTGTATCTGTATCGTAAAAATATATAATAAAGACAGCTGAATGTCTCATCAGCCATTGTTTTTCCATCTCAGAGCACGGTTATAATCAAGTTTCAGGTTTGTTAAACTTGTTGATTTAACACAATTAACTCAACCTAACAAGGAAAATGATTCAGTCATATAGCGTGTCCCTTACCCAGGATGTGTCCGACAGCATCCACCAGGTCTCTCTTGCTTCCCGCCTCACTCTTCACCACAGTCCTCTCCGCCAGCACGAAGCTGGACATCACCGGGCGCTGCTGGCACAGGAAGCGGTCCAGCACCTCCAGACAGGAAGTGATGCGCTGTGGGAGCGTGCCACCGATCACTGCGTCGTTGCCCCCCATGGTCTCCAGCACCACGCCCACATCGCCGATGGCTCCCCACTGAACCGCCAGTCCAGGTAAGCCATCGTGTCTGCGCTTCTCACACACACGCTCCATGGCCGAGTTGGCGTAACCGTAGTTACTCTGGCCAACGTTGCCACGGCCGCAGCTGACGGAGGAGAAGGCCACGAAATGCTGCAGGTCTGGACAAGACTTTCTCGTCACTCTGGAGAGGAAATAAAGCTCATTAAGATCCAGAGAGAAGCAAAGGAAAGTTCTCTGATATTAGAAGAAGGATGGTTGAGTGTGTCTTACTTGTCCAGGTTTACGGTTCCATCATATTTAGGTTTGTTAACATCGAGGAAAAGCTCAGGAGTCAGATTCTCCAACATGCCATCTTTCAACACCTGGTAATGACATAACAAACATGCAAAATAAGTTGAGATGAGATGTGAATTTAAATGTCGAAGTATTTTTAGATCAATAACACCAGAAAGGTTGGTTTTAACTGCGAGTTTGGATTAGACAGCAGTGCTAGCGTGAAATAAACACAGTTAAGAACTTCTGCCATAGTACCATAACATACTAAGGAATAATTCTGTTCAAAATATTGATTATAGAGCAAATACTGGGGCGTCCATAAGCAGAATGTTCAGCATTAACAACAAACAAAAACACTTATAATGCCACTGATGGTCTAGTGTGTTACCATGGCGAGGTGGAAGACCCCCCCCAGAGGGCCCAGTGAGCCGGCCTCAGCGATGAGTCGCTCTGTTCCCTGCAGTGTGCTGACGTCATTGGTCGACACCAGCACCTCCACACCCTGTGACTTCCATTCACGAACTCGCTTCGCCTGGTAACCTAGCAACAATTACAAAGCGGAACTGTGAAAAAACGAGTTACAGCGATAGCACCTAGAGGAATTAGCGCATAACACTGGTAGGCAATAGTAACCATGTAATCACACTGAATACAGCACTGGCAAGGCAGCTGTAGGTAATGGCAAACTATAGTGGCTCAGTCTGTAGGGACCGAAGGGGCGCCGGTTCACGTCCCAATCGGACTAACCAAAAAAAAGGAAGATTTCAGTCTCTGGATTTTACTACACATTTTTCTGGCAACATTAGCGAGCTAAACTTGTCTGTTACCAACTTTAATAACAATACTGACAAAAGCAGTGTTTCTCCTGTAATTGTATACCCGAAAAGTGGATGGGGACACCCAGGAGGAAAAAGTACAGACATTTCAAATTTAAATCAAATATTCCAGTGTTTTCCCTACTGTATATTTATCCGTGGCAGACCATCGTGAACTGCAGTGGAGCAGTGAGCTTGACTGGCTAAGGTTAGTTTAACTGAACAAGTGAAGTTAAAATAACCTTTCTGGTAGCCTTCAGGTTATAAGTGCGCTAACCTGCTGAATTATTTGATGTTTTTTGGAGGAAATATGTGACGCGATAAATGTGTACACCCTAATAAATACCACAAAATATGACACAATGGTAAGGCAGCTAATCTTGTTGTCTACCAACCATTTTTAATTAGCATTATCCTTTGCGCTGCCTGTGTTTTTCCCACAGCTACATTTCATCACCTCTGACGTCAGCTCAGTTACTCCTATAGTGCTTACCGTTCCTGATGCCTGATCTGGAGGTCAGCACCAGTTTGTGGGCTCCTCTCTCAGTGAGCCATTGAGCCAGCTCCAGACCGAAGCCCCCCAGTCCTCCAGTGATGATGTAGGAATGGGAGGGGGGGCAGAAGGTGCGACAGATAGCTGGGAAAGACACACGGGAAGCAGCTTGGACTGCTGAACCCTTCTCCTCATGACACACCTGTGTAAAGAGAACACCCAGTAAGAGGAAGTAAACTAGTGTGATGTCGGTTTTTTTTTTTTTTTAAAGACAGAGCCATAAAACTATTATTAACAACTGCAAAACACATATGCCATATATCTTTCAATTCTTTTTTCTAATTTCAATCATGAAAGCTTGGTATGTTTGGAACAAGTGCTAGATGAGACACTGACCTGCAGGAGGACTTTGCCGATGTGTTTGCCCTGAGCCATGTATCTGAACGCCTCCTCCACTTGGTCCCTCTCAAACACTGTGGTCTTTAGAGGCTGAACTACACCTCCCATAATGCCTTCCTTCAGCAGCTTGGACACATCCTCCCACTCATGGTTGCCTTCTTCAAAGAGGGCATCCAACAGGATGCCGTGGAAGGCCACGTTCTTCAGGAACAGAGCCATGCCTGGAGAGATTACAGCAACATGACATCAGAGCCAAGCATGCAAAACATTTACCAGGCCTTGGACAATTAAAAGAGTGGTTGTGGTTTAAAAATGCACTTTGAGCTTTTTATTCTGTGCACAATGGCACAGGCACAATTGCAGTGTTAGTATCAACTCTATAAATAATGTTACAATATGCTAAAGTGTGTGAGCCTGAGGTGAACTGACCCAGTGGGTTGTTGTTTGACAGATCGTATTTGCCGATCTCCAGGAAGCGTCCGTGTCTGGCGAGGCATCGAATACTGGCCTGCAGCTTCTCCTCTGCCAGAGAGTTCAGCACTAGATCCGCACCTGAAACACACACATCCAACATGTTTCAAAACCAAAGAAGAAGCATCACAAACACATCCCGGTTGAGGACTGTACTAGTTTTTTTAAATCCTAAATTGAGATAATGATCAAATTGTGTCCCAGCAGGGGTTACTACAGAAAGCGTGTCTGACCTTTGCCCTGTGTGTGCAGCAGGATGTGCTGTTCAAAGGAAGTGTCTCTGGAGTTAGCGAAGGACTCTGCTGAGAGCTGAGGGAACCTCTGCTGCAGGTAGGACCGCTTCTCCGCTGAGCCTGCGCACACACACACACACACACACACACACACACACACACACACACACACACACACACACACACACACACACACACACACACACACACACACACACACACACACACACACACACACACACACACACACACCAAGTTTCAATGATGAGATGATTCATGATACTTCCAATTCAGGATTACAGCAGTTTTATTTAAGACTTTTTTAAAACCACATCAAATTAAATAACAAATACCCATTTGTATTTTGCAGTCACACTTGCAGAAGCATGAAGGATACATGTAATATTTTTGAAAGAAAATTCTAAAGGTTTTTAGGCCTATGTGTTATAGTACTAAGACTTTTTAAGGACCCATGGAAACCATGTAGTTATGATAAAATGATGACAAGAATGACTACAAACATTTAATAAAATAACTGTCGCTGTGAATAAATAAACATTCCGCAGTGAATGAGAAATCCTATCAGAGCTCATTATTTTTGTCTGTATGACAGTGTGTAATGATGAGTGTGAAATGCTCACCGACTGTAGTGAAGACTTTACACTTCTTGCTGAGTGCTATGGCGATGGCGGCCTGGCCGACGCCCCCTGACCCTGAGTGGATGAGAACCGTCTCGCCGGGGCGGAGCCTGCCACGCACCACCAGAGAGTAGAAGGCTGTGGCGTAGACCACCGGCACCGAGGCCGCCTGCTCCAGAGTCCTGAACACAGCAGCATCAGGATGTTATTAAACTATTATTAAAAACATTTATTATATAGTATGGAGTATTTATGCTGATGTGACAGCATCCATGCAGAAACGTAGTTGTATATTTAGAGGACAAAAAGGCAAGACGCTTGTTTATTCCATGTGTAAGAGCAAATGATACAAGTACAAATCAATGTTTGTTTATTCAGAGGTTCCGCCGGAAAGGTTAAAACATTTTCCAAACTCACATTGGTTTCGCATACAGCATCTCTGTAAAGTATGTGTATTCAGCAGTATTCACTTTCTCCACTAAACGGCTCGCTGCAGCTCCCCCTCCCCCCCTCCGTGATTTCCTTAGCGATACACAGCCAAACACAGCCAAACTCAACCTGAACACACACAAAGTCACAGCCGAAATAAAAACAATAAGTGTGGCTTGATATTGAGTAAGAAAAAGGTTTATAGGTTGATAAACGCTGTGAGAATGGGTCTGCAGAGAGAATTTCGCGCGATCCCAACTGTCTGTTATCAGCCTGCAGCAGGGAGAAGAAATCAGCAGGGCTGCCTGCACTGAGTGTGTGTGTGGATTGGTCAATTTGGACCAATCAGCGGGGGCTTAACGTAACGGCTCCGCGGACGTAACGTAACGGCTCCACGGATTGGCCCATTTAGTTCCGGGTACGTGCTTTCGAAAGCACGTACCCGGAAGAATCAAATGACGATGACTTCATGATGACGTTTCACCAACGAGGCGTTTTGGGGAGGTATTTTACTCGCTACAGGGTGTACTTTGAGGGTTTTGACTCTGCACACCGTTTACATGCAGAAAAACCTTCATAACACACAAGGGGACGGGTAATAACCGGAAAAGCATGACACATGTCATGCTTTTCCGGTTATTACCCGTCCCCTTGTGTGTTATGAAGGTTTTTCTGCATGTAAACGGTGTGCAGAGTCAAAACCCTCAAAGTACACCCTGTANAACTTTTTACGCGCACCTTAGCAAATCGCACGAGCGATGTGGTCTCGATTGTCGTTGCTAGAGGACCATGGCCACGCGAAAGACGAGGGAGCGAGCGCGTGCGTGGTTTTCAACAAAAGTGCGGTGTGGTGTGTCCTGCTCGACAATTCTATGAAACGTCAAGCTACCCCACAGCACCCCAAAAAGAAATCTCTGGCGCCGCCACTGAGCCTGACTATTTGTGTTGGGGGGGCCCGACTTTTGTTTTTCTCCAAAGGGGGGGCCTGACAGAAAAAGTTTGGGAACCACTGGTGTAGAACATATCAACCGTTATATGTACTTTTTTGGAAACAATGTAATGTCTCTAATGGCCTTTTGATTGTGAGTGTCTTTATAAGGAAATGCTATATTGCTGAGCTAAGGTGTGTGTATGTATTCCCAGGTATGGGGACTCAGTGGGCCGGGATGGGCCGCAGCCTCATGCAGCTGCCTGACTTCAGAGAGTCCATCCTGAAGTCGGACGTGGCTCTGAAGGAGACCGGCCTGGTGGTGTCCAGCCTGCTCATGGACGCAGACGAGGCCACTTTTGAAGACACCGTTCACGCCTTCGTTGGCCTGGCTGCCATACAGGTAGAGTAAAGACGCCATGTGTAATGCGGGAACTCTTGCAAATGTATGTCATTTGATATAGACTACAGGGTAGGAAATTCATGTAAATATGTTTTACTTTGATTTAGATATAAGTTATTTCATATAATGTAACTGATATAGAGCAAAAGCAGGTTTAATTGTATCGCCGTAGTGAATCAGAAAATACAGAAACTATGGGAATAATCACATTTGTTTTGTGGCCTTTTCCAGATAGCTCAGATCGACCTGCTCACTAAGCTGGGCCTTGTGCCTGATGGGATCGTGGGTCACTCTGTAGGAGAGCTGGCCTGTGGCTACGCTGACGGCTCCCTCAGCCACACTGAGGCCCTGCTGGCTGCCTATTGGAGGGGCCGCTGCATCAAGGAGGCCAACCTTCCTCCAGGAGGCATGGCTGCCATCGGTGAGAGACAGCTGGGATTGTTTTCCATATTTTAAAATATGCTTGCATGAAATATGCACAATGTCTTACATGAAATGAAAATCGCCGTAGTCTAGGTGTCGGGATTTTAAAAATCTTTCAGTCAAATTACATTCTTATTGATAATATGTGACCTGCTGTCTGTCGGATGTTGCAACAGCGCATTCAAAGATAAACTGGATTTATGTTAACAACTTGTGTTATGGCCCTTTTGGTACTGGTACATCGCCCCCACCCTGTTGGCTGCTCTGAAGAATTACACTTAGTATTTGTTTTTATTAGATGGTACACATCTTTTACATTAGTATGTGTTTTGTTCCAGGATTAACGTGGCAGGAGTGTATAGCTCAGTGTCCTAAGGGAGTGGTCCCTGCCTGCCACAATGCTGAGGACACCGTCACCATCTCCGGCCCTCAGGTCAGACATTCCTTCAGAACCTGGTAACACTCAGAGAACCTGAGTAATGCACAGTCTGACTATACTGAACAAAACAAAATCGAGGTGACTACGTTTCAATGAACTTTTCGTGACCGCTAGAGGCTCAACAAAGACTTGGTACCTCTATCGTTATGTACAAAAGAATAACGTTAGGTTTAAAATGCTATTGCTGCTAAATACTAAGTTTAGAAACACTACTTCGAAAATGCAAACCGTTTTTGAAAAAGGAGAAGAAGAATACAGTAATTTGTCAACAGCTATAACATAACTACACAGAAAACAATGCTTTGGACTTTGTTAAAACAATGTCAGGTTTAGAAGAACAATAGAATGTATTTTCTAATGAAAGACTGCTTTTCACTCATCTAGTGTTTCCCAGGTGCAGGATGTTGTGTATTGACAGGTGTGTTGTGTGTGTTCCATCAGGCAGCCATCACTGCGTTTGTTTCCGAGCTGAAAGAGCAGGGAGTGTTTGCAAAGGAGGTGCGCAGCGCTGGTGTCGCCTTCCACTCCTACTACATGGCCTCCATCGCCCCCACCCTGCTGGCTGCTCTGAAGAAGGTACGTAGCTCTGCTGCATTCCAACAGTGAGCAACAGTGCAGCTCTGCTTCGACATTCTCATTAAGAGTTTATTATCGTCATGCAAAGACAGCGTGATGAACGTGTTGGTTGCTTTAATTTAGAACCTTTCTTTTTTTGGATTCTTGGCATGTCAGAATGTTATCTCTTAAATTCAAATATGTGTCAAAAAGCATGCATATACCGTAATTTTCGGACTATAAGGCGCACCTGAATATAAGCCGCAGCAGCTAAATTGAATGATGTGTACATATATAAGCCGCACTGGACTATAAGCCGCAGGTGTTTTAATGTTTAATTACCATATGTAAGGGTTCGTGCACAGAGGGGATTGTCGGGAAAGAGATGGCTGTTTGAGGAAGCTCCCATTTATTAACATTTCAACAAACAAGTTGCATATTTGCATAACGTATTCAAGTGTTAGCATTTAGTGCAATAGTAGCTACAGAACATGTACTGTGCTGTGTAAACTGTACTGTATCACATAGCGTTTCAGACACACAAACTTTTTAACTTTCAAACTTAAACGGTGCGCTCCCAGCGCACGTACCGGCAGTGATCTACAGCAGCGGTTTTCAACCAGTGGTACGGGGACAAACTGTCTCGCTCTCGTAATGTCTGTCTGTCTTGCTCTCGTTCTGTCTCTCGTACCACTCTCGGTTCCACTTTTACTTTTGCGCGCTACCTGTCTCACCCTTTTCCGGCCTCTTTTCCGGCCTCCAGCTTTTCCTGCTGGAACCCGCCGCTTAAAGTTGGGGGTCCGCGGACCGGCCATAGAGCCCATAGAGTTAAAGGTGGTGGCCGTGAGCTGTACAAATCCATAGATTAGCCGCACCGTTATATAAGCCGCAGCGTCGAAAAATGGGGAAAAAGGCGCGGCTTATAGTCCGAAAAGTACGGTAGTCAAAATAATAGTAGTAGTGAAGTGATGTCGTATTTCTCTAGGCCAACCCGGAAGTAGGCAACACAAGGGCTTCCTTGACAAAAAGCCAATGGGATTGTTCCTTTGGATTTTGGAATATTGCGGAAAACAAAATATATGTTAAAACGTTTATGATACTTAAGCAGGATAATGTCCACATATTAACCAAAACCCTTTTTGAGGCATTAAAGCAATTGCCAGAAGTAAAAAGCTAGTACATCAGCACCACTAAGCTAAAGGCAGCTAACGTTTGGTGTGATGACGTTAAATAGTTTCTTGTTAGTAAACACCTTTTTTAAGATGCGTAAAAGCTGCAGACATTCACCAGTGGGGTATTTATTGATGTATTTTATGTTGTGGAACAAAACTAGAAAATCCCTTTTAGCTTGTGTTAACCACATACCTCATTTCAGGAATCTAATAACATAGTTGGACTCATTGCTGCTGCACTCTTTTGATAAGTAATGTGAAATGTCTTCTTGTGTGAAGGTGATCAAGGAGCCTCGGCTGCGCTCCCCCCGCTGGGTGAGCACCAGCATCCCTCAGGCAGACTGGGACTCTCCTCTGGCTCTGTACAGCTCGGCTGATTACCACGTCAACAACCTGGTGAGCCCCGTGCTCTTCCACGAGGGCCTCAGCCTGGTGCCGGAGAACGCTGTGACCGTGGAGATAGCCCCTCACGCTCTGCTGCAGGTACGCAACCAAGACCACAGAACCCTTGTGTCCTGGGAATTGTAGTCCTATAGAGTTCATTCACTACAGAGACTGCCACTGTTCTGATTAACTTAACATGTTTCCTGCTCGTTTTCTGCACAGGCGATCCTGAAGCGTAGCTTGAAGCAGACATGTTCCATCCTCCCGTTGATGAAGAGAGGCCACGCCAACAACCTGGAGTTCTTCCTGTCAAACGTTGGGAAAATCTACATGAACGGGTCAGTAAACGCCTCACTTCAATGTTTAGTCGAACACATGGTGATGAGTTGATCATAAAGCAAGAAATAATAAATAAAGGAAATTAAACATGTAAGGAATAGCAAAGGTGTTGATATATATGGATAATTTTAATTATGTTAAATATATATAAATATAGATACAAATGTCAATGTGTGTATTATTAGATAATTACCTATCATTTAATATAAAGACTTTATTGAGCATACGTAAGGCATAAGTAGATAATACATACTATGAGAACAACACAATATACAAACATTTCAAGGAAATCAAAAAGGAATCTGAAAATATAAATATAATTACAAAGTTTAACAGTTATTTTTCAATTAGTTGGCATAGATAACATTATAAGACACAAAGATTTGAGAAAAGGCTTAAAACAAAAAAGGCATAAATCTTGCAACCTTACCTAACTTACTACTATCTTGTTTAGTCATAAAAAAACAACAATTTGAGGTCCATTTGCTTCTCTTTGTTCCTGGAAGCAGTTTCCGATTGCTAATATTGAATCTTTTAATGCTCCTCTTCAGCCTCAACGTGGACAGTAACAGCCTCTGCCCGGCGGTGAAGTACCCTGTGCCGGTGGGAACCCCTCTGATCTCGCCCCTGCTGCAGTGGGACCACTCCCAGACCTGGGACGTTCCCAAGGCCGAGGATTTCTCCTCAGGCTCAGGAGGATCCAACTCTGCCGTTGTCTATAATATCGGTAAGAAATTATCATCTGGGTCAAAAACTAGTTCTGCTTTCTTTTGTCATATTAATATTAAGAAAAGGTGCTTTAGAATTAAATTTAGATTTTAAACCCTTCTTTGGCCAAAAATAGACATCAACCCAGAGTCTCCAGACTACTACATGCTTGGTCACTGCATCGATGGGCGTGTCCTCTACCCGGCCACGGGCTACCTGGTGCTGGCTTGGCGTACCTTGATGAGAAGCCTAGGCGCTGTCATGGAGAGCACCCCTGTAACCTTTGAGGACATCACCATCCACAGGGCCACCATCCTGCCAAAGAGCGGTGAGAGCACAGCAGGGGGTGTGAGCATTGAGGGGGGTGTTTGATTAGGATGTAATGATGAACCTGTAATGTCTCTTTTCTCTCCTCACCTTTCTGTTCATCACAGGCTCGGTCCAGCTGAAGGTGCACCTCATGCCTTCCACAAACAAGTTTGAGGTTTCAGAGAATGGAAACCTGGCTGTCAGTGGTACGTAGATTCTCAACCTGCATTGTTTGACAGTGCAAACACACAGGAGGGTTTCTGGACAGACCAGACTTCTTTCAATTTGAATGTTTGATTTAGAAATGTGGGTTTTATTCAACTTCACTTCTGGTCTATGTCGTGTTTTCAACATCAAATGTTGTGTCACTGAGAGGCTGAATAGTTCACCTGGTAGAAATGGCGGCTCATGTACAGTGGCTCATTCCCCAATAAAGTGGACCCGGGTTTGAGTCCAATAATCGGCGCATGTGTGTCTTTGATGCCTCCAAATCCTAGACAATATCTGTCTTACTTATAGATGTAGGTTTAGGACTACTTCCACATAAGGATGTCCGTCATACGTTTTATGATCCAATTTTATTTGAATTACATTTTTTACTTTATATGGTTCTTTGTTTAGGCCTGCATTATAATGAGTTCACCACATAGTATTCATATGCCTCTATCAGGTATGACTCCTATCCTCTTTGATCACTATTTGATGTGTCAATGGGACAAAATGGAAGTAATGGGGGTTTATGCAGCGATGTGTAAGTCTCAACCAGCAGTTCCAGTGACAATGATAATCAACGTCAGTCCCTTGTAGAGATGATCCATAACAAGAGGTCGACCTAGGCATCAGGGTCTGCTTCTGTGTATAAACTGCAATAATCCTAGAAAATGATCCTTTTGTTGCCCCCCTTTTTATTTTCAAAATGCAGTCTCACCAGTAACCTCTGCCTTCCTTCTGCTCTTTATCCCTTGTGATTTTCAGGTAAGGTGAGCATCTTGGAGGATGCAGCCCTTGACTCATTCCACAGTCAGATAAAAAACCAAGCGGCCTACATCGCCGGTGACTCCAAAATGAAGCTGACCGCACATGACATCTACAAAGAGCTGCGACTGCGCGGATACGACTACGGAAAGACCTTCCAAGGAATCTTAGAATCCAACAATGCAGGTGTGTGTCTGTTTTTCATTTATCAACCCAACACTCTGGTGTTCTATATTGTTTGTGCTGATTGGCTACCGTAATGTGATTGGCTGCCTCCAGGAGACAGTGGGAAGCTGCAGTGGTCCGGAAACTGGGTGACCTTTCTGGACACCATGCTGCAGATGATGGTGGTGGGGCTGTCAGGGCGCAGTCTGCGTCTGCCCACCAGGATCCGCTCCGTGTGCATCGACCCATCTCTGCATCTGGAGAAGGTCTGCGACGACGCTGAGGGAAAACAAGGTGTGGTTTCACTTTAATGAAAAAATGGTTTCTATCATGTCCAAATTATGTAAACAAGTGGTGTTTAGAGGTTAAACTGTAGATACAAACAGATAACCTATATAGAAAGATCCCTATGCCATTTAGAAATATAAATTCCTCTCTTTTGTGTCCAGATATTTAAAATGTTGGAACTGAGCTAACGTGCTAACCTTCTATAGGTCTTGAACTAATTATCTCTTTCATTCCCGTAGCTGCCGATGTCCATGTAAACCGTTGCCTTGACCACATTGTTGCCGGTGGAGTCCAGATCAGCGGTCTGCACGCCACTGTGGCCCCCCGCCGACAGCAGCAGCAGAGCCCCCCCACCCTGGAGGAGTTTGTGTTTGTTCCCTACGTGGACACAGAGTGCCTGACGTCCAATGGGAAGGTTGCAGAGCAGCTGAGGCTCTGTAAAGGTACAGACACCTGCCAGGAAGGCTTTATGAATGTTGCTATTTCTTATGTGAGGCAATGCAAAGTTGACATCGCTTCACACTTCTTTGTTATGATGACCTCACAATAATCAAGACAACATAACTTATAGGAATGGGAACCATACATTTTCCTAATTTCTATTATTTTAGTGCAGTGGTTCTCAAACTTTTTCTGTCAGGCGGGGGGAAAAAGTTGGGCCCCCCTAACACAAATAGTCACGTAATGGGCCAATGTAACATTTCTTAAAATACATCAATATGAACGTGAGCAACAAAAAAAAAAAAATCCCTTTGCTAGAACAGTGATAATAAAACAATGCTCAATAAGTCTGTGTGCTCAAAAAAAAAATACATAATACAATTGTGCAATCCCTTTGCTAGAACAAATCTGTGCAACAAAATGAAAAGAAAGAAAATGCTGATATTTGGCAAAAAAGTGTGTCCTATCATTAGTGGCTGCAATGAGCCTGTCTGGCACAGCACATTTCTTCAAAACGGGGTTGCAGGCTCAGTGGCGGCGCCAGAGATTTATTTGGGGGTGCTGTGGGGTAGCTTGACGTTTCATAGAGGGTGCTCAAACATTTAGGGTTTCCCATTAATGTACCGGGCGCTACAGTGGAATTTTCTACTGCAACAATCCCCACGCATATACACAGTTTACCCACGACTGTTACAATGAAGGCTCAATAATCAGCTCACGGCATATAGGGGTAAGCAGGGGTAAAGTGCTATATTTATAAGTGGGGAGTGGACCTCACATAGGGGGGTCCGGGGGCAAGCTCCCCCGGGACGACTTTTTAATTTTTTATATAAGTTGAAAGCATCAATCTGGTGCACTTTGAGAGCAAAATGAAGAGATCTATGGATACCTCTCTCAACACCCATATGAAACAGAACTGTAAACAGATTTACTTTTTCTTTATGGATATTTTACAAATCACTCCCCTTTCAAACTTCTTGTTTTACTGTCATATAGTATTTCACACCTGTTTTTCATTTATTCTCTTACGTTGTTATAACTATAATGATCATATAAACGTGTGCCTCGGAAATAATTGTTTACATAGTTCGTCACCAAAAGGTTTGAGTGGGCGCGCCCCCCACTTTGAGAAACACTGTTTTAGTGTGTCATATGCTTATTTCACAGAAAGAAAAAATATTTTTAAAACCCTTTACACAATTAATTTTCAAATTCACAATAGATATGTATTTTTATATTCATAGGATATCAACTAATTGCATACAGTTAATGTTATTAACTACGATAATTAAAAAGTAATCTTTTCATTCATTAAATGATTCACAAGTTAGTTTTAATAGGTGCCATCTGTTGCTTCGCTAAAGAACAGTCCGTGGATCACGGCCTCCTACCTTTGCAACCAATCTTCTCATGGTGCTGACACAACGACAAAAACGGAATATATCACTTTGTGCAGCGTCATCCATCGAGTGCCTTATGTATATTTATGAACCAATAGTCAGAACCAAAATTCTCAAAAATTGGAACCAAGTTTTTCTTCCCAAACTCCAATTAGGTTTTTATAAAAGATTGATCAAGTTGGAGAGTTGGAACAAATGAATGCATAGGTGGGAAGAGTTTGCGTGGAAATGACTACTACGGTACTTACTATTTTCTTGACATTTTTATTTGCTATGACAGCTTGAAGTTTACATTACACAACAGCAGACCTAATCCTCAAACTTATAGAAAACATATGGCCTTATTAAACTGTAAGTTGTTGGTTTTATTTATTTTGTTCAACCTGTTTCCTTTTTTTGTATCATCTCCCACATCATTTCCTAAGACTTTTTCCCCGCTCTTTGCATCCAGGTCTAATACAAAGACTGCAGCGAAAGTTGGCCCCCCATGGTGTGAAGCTGTCCATCCCCGGCCTGCAGGGGGAGTCAGAGGGCCCTCTCCCCAGCCCGGAGCCCTCTGAGCCGGGCCTGCTGCGGCTGCTGACCCTGCTCTGCGGCTTGGAGCTAAACGGAAACCTTCATTCTGAACTGCAGCAGACTGTGGAAAAGCACCGGGGGTGCCTGCTGCAGGACGAGCTGCTGCAGGGCCTCCTGGACAACCCCCCCCTCAGACACTGCCTGGACACTACCCTGGAGAACTGCATGCCTGGCAAGATCAAAGTCCTGGAGGTAAGACTGTGTAACAGATTAAAAACTGACAGAAAACAAAAGTCATGTAGATTCAGAATGGATGAATTATGATTTAGGCCCTGTGTCCACAGAGCGTATTTTTGTCAGAAAGGTGCAGGCAGGGGGCTCGGGGAGAGTAGGGTGGCCGACAGGTGGAAAGGCACTTCAACGGCCCTAAACACTTCCATTTGCAGTGTTTACCAAAAGCACTGCATAATCGAAACGCTGCAAATACAAAACGCTGCAAGGAGCTCAAAACACAACGGAAACCAGGGGACAGTAAAAAGTGACGCACACAGATGGATTCGGAGCACTTGCTGCAGTTCAGGACTATAAAGTTGTCTGTCACTGTCGCAGAGTTAGTCTGGTTCATTATTCTAATGTTCTGTCAGTATATCTGAAATAACTACGTTAGCTAGCTAGCTTACAGCAGATTTGCAATAATGTGATCTCCTGGTTAAATTAAGCCTATAAAACATTTTTGGGTCTTTGTTATGATAGTTTCGGCCTGAAAGACATAAAATCAGGCTTCTCCCACGATTTCTACGACTTCACCCGCGGCTTTTTTGAACCAATAGAAGTGATCAAACCGGGCACATAAAAATGTTGGTGCGCTTAGAAAAAAGACTTATGTACTCTCTCCTAATAAGAAACCATTTAAAAAAAGATGCTGTCTCTCAGAAAAGACACCATGTGGACACAGGATGATAGTCTCTAAAGATCTAGTATTAACCCTCTTCACCTCCTGACCCCTCTCAGGCTCTCTCCAGTGACGGGCAGCTCTTCTCTCGCATTCTATCGCTGCTCCACATCCAGCCCATGCTGCGGGTGGACTACACTGCTACAGCGCCCCAACTTGACCTCATGACCCCCCACCAGGCCACTCTGGAGGAGATGGCAGTGGCCTCAGCTCAGTGGGACCCCATGACAGGCCCGGCCCCTGGAGGCGCAGTAGCAGACCTCGTGGTGTGTAACCACGCCTGGGGCCCCTTGAGGACGGACCCTGGAGTGCTGGTGGCAAATCTGGCTTCTGGAGCCAAAGAGGGGGGGTTCGTTCTCCTCCACACCCTGCTGAAGGGGGAGACTCTGGGGGAGATGGTCGCCTTCCTCTCCAGCACCGCTCAGAACAACGCCCAGCAAGGACTCCTCACACAGGTTAGTGGAGACAATGTGCAAATCAATTCTTCATAACATTACCCTTCTACCTTTTTATATCTACTGCTTTTTTTTCCCTCTTTTCTTTTGTATTCTCATATTGTATTTTATTTGAAATAATGTAAACTCATGTAACATGCTGAAATGTTAAACATAGGGTATTCTATGCGATTATGCTTAAATTATATTAAATTAAATGAAAAAGGACAGTTTCTGCCCTCTAGTGGTAAAAAGTAAGTGAGCTTTAAAAGTTCATGATATGCTCAAGTAGTATTTGTTATCCTATTGCTACATTCTATAAATGTGAGTTGTACATCATATGTTCTAACATTAGCTGCAGGAGTAAGTATACAAAAGTGTGCAGATTATATCTTAAGACAAACCAAATAAAAGGCTTACTTTAAAACTTGGATATCATAAATGTGTATTTTGATATTCAAATGTTATAACAAATTAATGACCCCAGACATTTTTTAAAGACCTGCAGAAATCCAGGCCTCTGTATTTATATGACTTGAAGAGAGACTTGAGTTTTGTAAGATATAAACAGTAAAATAGTAAGTAACTACATTTCCCCTTTTTTTTTTTTTTACATCCCTATGATGCGACCTCTAAAATTGTAGCAATTTTTTCAATAATTACCGTAATTTTCGGACTAAAAGGCGAACCTGAATATAAGCCGCAGCAGCTAAATTGAATGATGTGTACATATATAAGCCGCACTGGACTATAAGCCGCAGGTGTTTTAATGTTTAATTACCATATGTAAGGGTTCGTGCACAGAGGGGATTGTCGGGAAAGAGATGGCTGTTTGAGGAAGCTCCCATTTATTAACATTTCAACAAACAAGTTGCATATTTGCATAACGTATTCAAGTGTTACCATTTAGTGCAATAGTAGCTACAGAACATGTACTGTGCTGTGTAAACTGTACTGTATCACATAGCGTTTCAGACACACAAACTTTTCAACTTTCAAACTTTAACGGTGCGCTCCCAGCGCACGTACCGGCAGTGATCTACAGCAGTGGTTTTCATCCAGTGGTACGGGGACAAACTGTCTCGCTCTCGTAATGTCTGTCTGTCTTGCTCTCGTTCTGTCTCTCGTACCACTCTCGGTTCCACTTTTACTTTTGCGCGCTACCTGTCTCACTCTTTTCCAGCCTCCAGCTTTTCCTGCTGGAGCCCGCCGCTTAAAGGTGGGGGGCGCGGATCGGCCATAGAGCCCATAGAGTTAAAGTCGGTCCTTCTACAAAAGTTGACATAGTTTTCTCCCAGGCGTTTTGCGGATAAGGGTAGTCTAAACGGAACTAAACTGAACAGCAAAACACTATATAAAAAAGAAGCAACACATGCTTTGGTTGCAATGTTCGGATTTACCTTGTACATTCGAATTGAGCTGGAGCCCCCCAGAAGATATCATAACCCTCACCCTAACCGGCGAACGGATAGAGGTCTTTCTCGTGGATTTGAGGGGTACGGGCTCGAATTGCACTCTCGGTCCAATCTGGTGACCCTTTGGCATGGGTGAAAGTTCGAAAAGACTACGCCGCAAGAACTCTGTTTCGTCCTTACATACTGCAACCACCGGGCGCACGCTTCGAGAGAGGTCCGATGAACTTCGGATAGAGCCGCCCGGCCCTTTCACCCTCGGAAAGAGCGGGCGGTCGTTACGGAGCTCTGTTTGGCAGTGGATATGCAACTGGTGCATTTCGGACAGAGACTACGACCTGCAAAACGTCGACCGACGTGTATTTGTCGTTGGAATGTGTACACAATTTATTTCGGATTTATTACCTAGCGAGAGACGAGACTTATACAAGCGAGACGACAACACAACAACGTATCCGGTTGGGTGGAACGGATACCAAAACACGTCTTCCTTGCCTCCCTGAAAAAATAAAACGTAGGAATAAAGGGTTATCTTTGAGTAATTACATCGCAACATACACCAAGAAAGTATACGGTGTCGAAAACCATCGGCAAAAATTTTCGTTATCGAGTGAAGTCCGGCACCAATACGAGTAATAAGTGCGATTCCCCCGCAACCAAGCCGGGAAGCGAAACGCAGCCCCCGGCTGTGCGGGAACGGACCAACTACGATACTATAGACTCGCGTAATGGTGCCCGGACAGCCACTCGATGGACGAAATGTGAAGATTGTATATTATTCATCTTGGTACGACCTAGTACAAAAAGCACGGAATGGTCATTGGCAGAATTTCCGACAAAGACAATGATTGTTCAACATTACCATCTCTTAAGCGTCAGAATGGCATAAGCCCCCAGCCGGGGGACCGAGGACGGGCGCCATCGCAACGGCGTAAGGGTGTACGGGCACCCCGAACTCTCGCGCGCAGTCGGGGACCGCACGAAGACTACCGAGACGGCGAAGCGGACTTGGTTTTGTCAATCGTACTATTTATCGTATGTAAAATTGTAAATAATAAGGGCCATGCATTAAACCCAACACGTATCGTGTTTTCGGTCGTCTCATTTTGTGTGCAGTCCGACAAAAGTTACAAAAAAAAATTATGTGATACAAGATGAGGAAAATTGGACTGAGCTACGTTAGTATTACCAAACTTTCTGTGACCCTCCTGTAATAATGTCTTCGAAAAAATGAAGTGGAAACCACCAAACGGCTGGGTGGAAACAACAGCCACGACCAGGTGTCCGTTCCTTTTCCCGACAAAACGCTTCGAAACCTGTCGCGTGTCTTTCTCCCGCCTCGCGTATCTTCTCGAAGGACTGGTAAGTGGTCCGACTCTCTCGCGGAGTCCTTGTGGAAGACGGAAGATCGGACACTCCTCTCCCTCTCTGCATACGTCGTCCTTAGAGTTGTGTGGACTGTGTAGCTAGAACTCCGAATCGAGCGGGGAGGAATGGATTTGATTTTACCAAAGAAACCCGGAAGGTCGAACGCCACACACTTCATATGTCTAACTGTATGCATTAAAAGCCTGATATCGGCGCGTAAAAAAAGGGTAAAGCGCGACGCCGGATATGTTGCCACGCCGATGAGATACCAAAAATGTCGATTGCCGGTGAATCCCGCTGGAGGATCAGAACTAAAATGGCCGATNATGGAGATGAGGAATTCATTTTCCAGCATGATCTGGCACCTGCCCACAGTGCCAAAACCACCAGTAACTGGTGTACTGACCATGGCATTACTGTCCTCGATTGGCCTGCAAATTCCCCTGACCTGAACCCCATAGAGAATATGTGGGGTATTGTGAAGAAGAAGCTGAAAGACACCAGACCCAACAATGCTAATGAGCTAAAGGCCGCTATTGAAGCATCCTGGGCATCCATAACACCTCAGCAATGCCACAGGCTGATTGCCTCCATGCCACGCCGCATTGATGCAGTAATCTGTGCAAAAGGATTCCCAACCAAGTACTGAGTGCATTAATGGACATTTTCAAATGTTTGATTGTGTTTTGCTGTTATAAATCTTTTTTTTTTACTTGGTCTGAGGAACTATTCTAATTTTTTGAGATAGGATTTTTGAGTTTTCTTAAGCTGTATGCCATAATCAGCAATATTAAAATAATAAAAGGCTTGCAATATTTCAGTTGATTTGTAATGAATCCAGAATGTATGACATTTTTGTTTTTTTAATTGCATTACAGAAAATAAAGAACTTTATCACAATATTCTAATTTTCTGAGACAGTCCTGTATATATATATAAAAGCTATTTTGGACCTATGCAAACACTGAATACCTCCAAACTGAAATAGATTTTCACTACATAGAAAAGGCAGATACAATTATACTGAAGTCAAGAGGAACACTACGAATATGGCGACAAAGCCAGTCATGTCGTGGCTCTTCACCTCGAGCAGCCCTCAGCATCACAACACATTTCTCAGAACTATGACCATGTGCATCCTCACAATCAAGCTTCCTTTTAGATCATACTACTCCATAGCCTTGTTCGTTATTTATGTTGTTTATTTTCATATTGATATGTCTTACAAGTAATGATCATATTTCCCCACTAGACAGCATATATGAGCTTGTTACATCCTCAAGTTTGTCCACAAGACAGATTAAACATATCCAAGTCAGTGCATTCACAACATTCCTGTCCATGAATAAAGAAATGAAAGCATTACTGTACCTGAGCAGATGTACCAGATGGGCCTGGGGGCAGCCTGCCCCTGCTGTACCTCGGAGACGTCGCTCTGAGAGCCTATCAGGGTGTAGCCTCTGAAGGGCATGCTGGAAGTAGGAGCTCCTGAAACCTCATTCAGCAGAGACAGGAAGTTTTCATCAGCAGCGTGTTCCTTCCCTTTTTGTAGCAGCGCCTTCACTGCCTCCTCTGTGCGGCCACAGGCTTGAAGCACCCTGGGTAGTGTCCTGGGCGGTGCGGCCGTGTCAGTTGATTTCTCCGCTGGACGGAGAATCACGTGAACATTTGAACCTCCGAATCCAAACGAGTTGATGCCTACGATGCCGCCTCGGATGGGAATGGGCCGGTCGACCACCTGAACCCGACCGTCGCTGAGCGCTGGGATGTCCGCGTTCGCACTGTTGTAGTGCAGGTTGGGGGCCCAGACTCCTCGCTCTAGAGAAAGCACCACCTGTGTGGTGGAGGAAAAAATAAAACAATTAAGAAAAGCAGACGTGATACAGAGCAGCATTTCAGTGTTGCTGAGATAGCTCATTATCAATAAATTGACTGGTATCATTTTTCATATTTGTATTATATTGTGATCAAACTATTCCTGTGTTGATTTTGTAACTTTTTCTTAAATTTGTCATTTTAAGCACTTTGAGGTGCTTCCTTTTATGGAAGGTGCTATAAAAATAAGGTTATTTTTTGTATTTTTCTGTTTAATTGATATCTGCCTTTCTTCCTCTTTAAATGTGGCACATGTATCCTGCAGTTAGGAGGATGAAATGACATACTGTAAGGGATGACATATTTGTTGGATGACCCGGAATTTAGCATTGCAAGCCATCTCTCGATAATAAAAAACAATTGGATTTTGAAATAAGATCTGTTGAAAATGCTTGTTTATAATACTTAAAGGTGGGGTAGGTAAGTTTGAGAAACCGGCTCGAGATACACTTTTTGTTATATTCCATGGAATGCTCTTAACATCCCGATAGCAATGAATATCTTAAGTGCTTTGACAAAGAATCCATAAAAAAATGTCATCTGTGGAAGCCGTAGCACTGTCAAAAGCCTAATCATTTTAGCCGGGCCGGCTAAAATAACTGGATGGCCTACCTGCCTGTCAGCTTTCCATCTGTGCACAAACTTATCTCGTGCCCTCATTGGTCATGTGCGCGTTCGTGTGTGTTGGAGGAGGAGCTCTATAAGGAAGTGGCAGACTTTCTCCGGCTGTGTATTTTCAAATTCTAGCGCACTCGAGCTGGTTTCTCCAAAATTACCTACCCCACCTTTAATTTCATTTGTAAGAGCGCTTTTCCAAATGCTCAAAGCACTTTGCATTAGATATTACACATATCAGACATGTAACAGTGAATACAAAAACATGATGACATTGGGTACTCTCAATTAGTCACTTTTTTACAACTTGTAAAAGCCTCAGAAGTGATACACTGATGAATTTTATATCATAATACAAAACGTGAACATCTTGTCAGCTTGTGTTACCATAGATCTTATTTCAGGCATCTTACGAAAAACCCATTAAGGAAGAAAATGACTTTGAGACAAGCGAACCATATAGCTAAAGTGCCGACTCATTTCTTGGTTTAGGACTAATTCCTGCACCACTCTAGTCATTTAAGTTGGCTGCAGAATTATTTGCCAAATAAATTAAAATCGCAGGTTTCTCGTCCCACCTTCCATTGAAAACATAAAGAATAGGTAAAAAAAACGTTCACCCAAAACATATGAATAAAAAATAAATCCTCAGAGCACTCCTTAACTCTCACCTTAGCAAGAGCAGACAGACCAGAGGCCGGTTCTGGATGGCCCATGTTGGACTTTGTGGAGCCGATTAGCAGGGGCTCTGACCTCGAGTCACAGAACACACTGACGATGCCGTTCACTTCCTGTGGGTCCCCAACCTGCAGAAGGAGAGCGGAGATTACACGTTGTGTCGAGTTCACTTTTGCATTTTCTTTTCAACCATCCGTCTGGTGAGGCATGACGAGCACTGATCACAGGCGATTTGTGTGATCTGTGTGCACTGACCTTGGTCCCTGTGCCGTGGGCCTCCACATATTCCACCTGCTCAGGAGTTATATTAGCTGCCTGGTAGAGAGAGCGAACCAGCCTCTGCTGCATCTCACCTGAAGGGAAGGTCACACCTGAGGGAGAAAGAGGACAAGTATTATAACTATACACATCACATCATAACTGCTTGGTGACTGTCAGGCGGTTAGCGTGCACTCACCCTGCTCCTTGTATCCATCTGTGTTGTTGCCAGCGTTCAGCACTGTGGCGTACACTCTTTTAGCCATTGAGCGCTTCGTCAGCAGCACAGCCACTGCTGCCTCAGAACGGCAGTATCCGTTTCCTGTCCAACAGATGAAACAATAGAAATGATGTATTGGTATATATGTATACAAATACATGGTGAATAGAGGAAAGTAAACATGAAGAGCTGAGACTCTGCCTCTTTATCTCACCTGATGCGTCAAAGGACTTGCAGGTCCCCTCAGGACTGAGCATGCCCAGCTTCATGAACTGCACCGAGGTGTTGGGCTTGAGCAGCAGGTTGACCCCCCCCACCAGAGCGGCGTCACAGTGGCCCTGGCGGATCCCGTGGAAGGCGTTCTCCAGAGCCAACAGGCTGGAGGAGCAGGCCGTGTCGATGGCAGTGCTGGGGCCTGCAGGGGGGAGAGGAGGGGGTTACAGCTGTAGCATGTCAACTGTATCACTTGTGGTCCATAGAAGTACTCTGAACTGAAAGATATCAGGCCACTTGGGGGCAGCATTGGATCCAGATGTGCATTTATGTAGCAGGGCAGGTCTAACACATTACAGTAAGTGCCGTTCCAAACCAACAAGTGGGAAGTGGGAGTTAGTAAACCCTCCAACAGGAAGTCATTCAACTGTCCAACAGGAAGTCTGTATCTGTCCTGACCAACAGTTGCCCTAACATGTGCAACGCTGTTTGTGTCCCTCGTGCAACACACTGTGTAGAAATTGTTCCGTGCAAACATTAACATGTCTACCTTATTGTTGGGAAAATACTGAATGTGCTCTTCTAATATCAGAGTAGCACATGATAACAAAGGCCCTGCGTAGCTGTGTACGTAACCGGATGTATGATTACCTAGAAGAGCGTCAGGACACACTGTTTTAGGCAGATGATAGCTATGTGACAACGATTAACATGATGATTCAGCCTCTATGGAGATAGACATATGACTGTCATGTTTATTGCTTACGCAGACCTTAGCTAACCTGAACTAAACATTGAATACTGCTTTGAACCGGTATTCTTCCATCTTGTGACTGTGTAACTCCCTCTCTTGTATATAAGCAAGTCAAGGACACTGTTCTGGGAACTATTTGTCCCATGCAGCCCTGTGTGTGATGACTACTTCCATTCTTGCAAGGATAATAAATACATGTATCCTGATATTGAAGATCAAGCCGGTGACGAGTGATATTTTTCTAACACTTGAAATTGAAAAAACAGGTGTAGACATTTTATATTGTCATACAGTTGTAAACAACTTGAAGGTTACATTGTATTTAAAACATTTTAAATTAGGATCTTATAAACTTGTGTCTATTCTACAAAACAGTAAATGTATGCATTTGATTATGAAGATGTATGTAAACGGGGACTTCTGCAAAGACCAAGCAGCTCATAGACATCAGATTTAATTATTATTTTTGTATTTTTTCGATATAATAATACTGGTTACAAAAAGTGACGTTGTTTCTGTTTCTGCCTGAGAGAGGGAAGACATTCATAAAGCTTGCCGCTGTATTTACAACCTCCGACTTAAGGAAGGAGCCTCTTTCAGCCTAGAGTGTGAATACAGACGTAACTCACTCTGTCATGAAATCTAAGAGTGTAGGAGTCGAATTGGAAACGGGCCAGTTTGGGTTTTGGCACAAAATCCCCAATAGACACCATTAGAGTTTGGTAAATAGTTGTGATAACAAAGTCCTGATTAGAAGAGTAAAGTATTACAATTCTCTGTCACATTCCCAGTTGAGTCTGTCGGTGTGTGTTGCTGTGTGTGCGTACCGCTGAAGTCGAAGAAGTAGGACAGTCTGTTGGCCAGCATGGCGCGCTGGCAGCCGGTCATGCTGTAGCCCAGCAGCTCCTCTGGATCCCTGCTGAACGCCTCTCCAGCCTCCGAGCCGCTCACCCCAATGTAGACCCCCGTCTTACTGCCGCGCAGAGCAGCTGGGTTCAGTCCTGCGTCACAACATGGCATTGTCTTTAGAGCATACACTCTATTTCATCACATAGCCCTTTCTTAAATAATCTCTTAATAACTCAAGCTCTGTTTGAAATGAAATCAAAGAGGAAATTCAAAAGTCACACTTCATCAAGCGAACGGTTACTGTATTGCTTTCCAACCATTTCTTCCCCCTTTCACTAGAATGACAGTCGTTTTTAATTTTCAGTGCTTGTCCCACTCTCGGTTTTCCTCACCTCCATCTACGATAGACTCGTAGGCGATCTCCAGCATGAGGCGGAGCTGGGGGTCCATGGTGTTGGCCTGTTTGGGGTGCACTCCGAAAAAGGCTGCGTCAAAGTGGCTGATGTCCTTCAGTTTACCATTCCTCTTTGGAAGACCGTACAGACCTAGGAAAGACAAAAAGAACACAAAGTTAATATGAAACTGAATTCTTTGGGTGGTGGGTAATGTAGCCTAGACGGTCGGTATCAGAACAAATGTTCTCGGGGGTGTGGGACCAAGCGGCAGAAGCAGGCTGTAGAAGGAGGAATTTCCATGGACCCCCCTGTTAAAATGCCCTACTTTACAGCAGAAATAAACATGTTTCTACCCCTGGATGCAATACAAATTATTCTGTATATAGTTAGATTCCACCTTCATGACAATGGATTGGGGATTGCATTTTTTTATAATGCGCCCCTTTTAGTTATATTAGGTCTTAAAGTTTTTGCATCAATTAGGGCGTGGTCACTTTGATGGAGACCTCTGCTGTGACTGCTGCTTCTAGCTTTCTGTTTCTCTGCTAGCTCCGTTAGCTCTGTTAGCTCCAGGATGCTACAGGGGCTCAGCTGCAAGGCTGATCCGGGGAACACAACTTGAACTCGGACGTGTTTGTTTTGTTGGTGCCTGGTGGAGCATTCTTCATTTAAATATCTGACTTATCTTATGCCGCCTCAGCTCTGCCTCTTTGCCCTTATTTGGATCAGGCTGGAGCAGGCGGGAGTTAGGCTCTGATGTCACTGTCAAGACGGCAGCAGCCGACTCCACCTACTAAGGGCTTCTCAGCAAATCTGCAGAAACCCATGGGTGACGTCACGGACACTACGTCCATTTATATATACAGTGTGGGACCCACAGTAATGCTGGGCTTATTAATGGACATGGAAACAGTATTATTTTGTAAAAACATTTGTATTTTGTTGTTATTATCTGATATGTGTTCACGCGCAATAACAACTATTTAGTAGGTAGCAGAAGCTGCAAATGCATCATTAGTGGACCTAGCCGACATTATGCAGCTACGTTGCAGTGACTCGCTTATGCTTCTGTATTTTCACGTGGGGAAAGCTGGTAGAAAGGGGTATAAAAGTGGTGACACAGGTGTATAGAGAACATGTAAGTGTAACAAACTAGCTGTAATTCAGATATTAGATGGTTATATAACCATTGTTATGTTGTTTTACGGTTAAATGAGGAGTGTATTGTGTGAAACAGTTTGTCACCTGTTTGCTAATATGGACTAATGCCCTTAATGGTTTGTTTCATCCAAGTTTAGGAATTGACTTGAATGTTATTCAGATGCATCATCCATTAGACCAAGTAAAGTGCTTGTGTGTCTGTATTTTCAGAACAAAGTACAGCTTTTTTCCTAAACGTGCTGCAAAATCTCACTCTGTCTTACGTATGCATGGGAATATCTTCAGCCGCACTAGCCTCATATGAAGAACATCATAACATTTAGGATGCTCTATTAGCTGCCTATAATCTCGAAATGTGGAGGGCTAACTGCTGGATTGCACATAGCTTATTGTAGTGGCTGTCTTTTTAACTTGGATAATAGCTACTGGTTTGACTACAAAATCTTTTCAGATTGTTGATCCGATTGTGACTTCTTCTCCTGCCAGCTTGGAATAAGGAGGAGTTAATGCAGTGAACATGTCATCTTCAAAAAACAATGTTCAGCAGAGTGAAGGATCACAATGCTGACCGTATCGTAATAGTAGTTTCCAACACAGCAGTAAAATAGTCCATATTCAGGTTTCTTTGAGCCACATTCACTGTGGCACTGGGCTTAATAGAAGCTACTATGTGTCTTCTTGTTTATAAGACTACTTGTTGCTTTGGCTGCTAACCAGTTTTCCTGTAGTTGCACATACTGTAACCGGCTAGCAGCATTTCTCATAAAGAAGTGATTTACCATTTTCTTTTTGTACTGTCTCTTTTCAAGGACCCCTTCAGGCCATTGACCTGTGCTGGGTTTCACTCTTGTCCCTACTCTCCCGAGATGCCTTGTGTGTGGTCTCAGCTGACCCAGTGCAGCTCTTTCAGCGCATGAATGTGTGCTTAAGATGGTTGCCAGGATCTGAGGGATGGGTCTTTTATTCACAGAGAGGAAGCAACTGAAGGGTAGTGAGGGAGCACTGGAAAGAGTGGAATGTGGGCAAGGGTGTCAAATAGAAAAGTAAGAGAGAGAAAACCAGCTGCTAAATTCTCAGCACTTTGTCTTTTTCTTGCTAAATCCGTTAATCAAGATGGGACCAACTAGCACTCACTGAGAGCTAAACTCAGCAAATGGCTCAGCCTCATCTAAAAACACACAGCCCCCTCATTCATTTGTATAATGTACCAGCGTAAAGGGCTCTGGGAAGAAAAACAAAGCGTTGTTTGGCAAAAGTTGGACCTAATCCAACTTCTGCTTCCAAACAAAATAGCGTCATCTGCTATACGCTGCATTATCAATCATATGCAAACGCATACTCCTAGTAGATCTACTTTAACACCTACAATTAACCTACATTTATAACCATCGGATTTAAAATGACAAAAGAAAACTGATTACAGGAACTTCTAATAACTGTCTGGTTTGGTTGCAAAATGGCTCACTGATGCAGTGACAAAATGTTGGCGTTTGTTTTGAATAATTTGACCTTTTTTTGCACAGAACCTCTATCTGTTAAGACTTGTATCTATTCAATAGTTCAACATGTATTGTTTTTCGTTTCATTTCAGAGCCTGGCCAAACGTGTCTCTAGAGCAGCTCTGTAACTGCCAACAGATAACGAGGTCAAGTTTAAATCTACACACAGACGGCATTAATGTTTACAACGTCAGCTGCTGAGACAGGAGCTGTTCTGGTGGCACGGGGGAAATCAGCTATCTTTCAAAGTGAGCACAAGAGGGTTATCTTATCAAGGAGATAAGAGGCCATCGCAACTGTCAGAATGATGTTAGTGATTTGAACAATCATCTATGTTGGCAACTTACACTACACAGGTGATGATCCTAACAAGTGAATGTCATTATTTATTCTGCTTATGTTGTTGTTTTAAACTGTACTACATTGTGAATGAAAAAAAGTCAGCTTTAGCAGTTTTGGTAGTTGTTTACTTTGGACAGAAACAGGCTACTTTTCCCCTGCCTTTCTGTTCAAATTCAGTGTTAATAAAAAAAGTACATCTTTTTGTTGTCTAAGAAACGTGATGAATGTATTTTAATCATCATAAAACATATGCAAAGATTTGTTTGAACATTTCGAAACATGCATTGTTTGCATCAAGGTTTGGTGTATGTTATTTTACACTCACATTTTTGGCCTTTAAAGATATATATTGTAAATTCTCCCCTCATACAAGACATTACAGCTAAATAGAGTTTATGTTTAAATATGAAAAAGAGTCATTTTGAAATGCTAACTTTAGGTGAATTTAGGAGAAATTAAGAGAAGATCCTGTCGTTCTGGAGCTGCTGTTGGTGTGTGTTGCAGGACTATACATACAGAAAGTATTTTTTTCCTTTTAACTAACTAATAATAATAACTAATGAATTCATCCAAACGGACATTCTTTCTTTCTTTTTTTAGAAAAGCAGTTCTCACCCAATCAATCAAATAGATCTATCTTTATGAGGTTTTACCTGGTGTCCACCGCCGGTCGTCCTCCGTCACCATGTCCACACCGTTGATGAGGTTTTCCCAGAATTCCTCCAGGTTGTTGGATTCGGGCAAACGGCCCGATATCCCTGCTATGACTATATCATCCATGCTGAATGACTGTGAACAGAGAGAGAGACATGTCAACAATGACACATTATGTGTACACTGCGGTCATCAGTGTGAACGTGTCTGTCTGCTGAAGAAGCCTGCGTTACCAGGACAACACAAAGTATGTTGGCTCCTCAACAACACACCAAAGGGATTTATTATGTCGAAGATGTTTTTAAGATAATACTGAAAAAACATTGAACTGCCCAAAACTAAATATGGAACGATTTAAAACAAGCTTAACAGCTACTTCCTAAGCCAACTTCCTGGAATGCCCTTCATTTGCATGATAAATATGTTTATAGAAAAGGTCAAATGATTGTATGATGTGGGGCTGCAGAGGCCTACAAACTGTATTCTACAGACCTATTACAAAGCTTGTGTGGTACAGATCCTCTCAAAAACCTAAACAAAAAACATTTTAAATATATCTTTCAAAGATAAGAAGAATAATGAGGAAAAAAATATCAATCTCTCCAATATCTTTGATAATATGCAATATTGCAATTTCAGTAAAAATAATCACAATTAAATATTGTTTTCAAATCGAGCAGCCCTGATAGTGATCTGCATTAAAATGCCATTCTTAAAATGAACATTTATTTAAGATCTATTGGAATTTGAATTGACTGATGTTGTGTAAATCAGCTGACTGTCTTTCCAGTCAGCTGATTCCGAGCCGGTCTGGTGAGTGCATGCACAACTGTGTCACATTTAATCAGTGCAACACTCGCAGACACATTGTAAACAAAATACAGTCAGTCGACGGTAGAAAGAGATATACGCTATAGATTTAAAATTCTTTATCACCCAAAAACATGAAATATCAAATTCTAAAAGATCTTCATGGCAGTTACTGAACTGTACGCCTATATTTTCACACTAAGCATGTTTCGGTATTGAACCATATGTAATCGTGTTGGTGTTGACCGGCAGCTTTGGGAATGAGGAGTCTCTCTGAGCATGCATGAGCGAGCACTTACAGACAATGTAGTCTGTGGATACACTGTGTACATGAGTGAGCATAGCCGTGTGTGTGTGTGTGTGTGTGTGTGTGTGTGTGTGTGTGTGTGTGTGTGTGTGTGTGTGTGTGTGTGTGTGTGTGTGTCTTTGTTCCTTGTTTCTAGGCCAGGTCTTTTTGTGTCAGCAGGGCCTGGCCCATCAGCCAATGGGCTTGCAGCTTGGCACAGAGCCACTCTAAATGGAAGCATGTCACCTCCTTGATGTAGAGCAGCCGTCCTGACCTCTTCCCTCACAACATACTGTTCACGTGAGCTTGGATGTTAATAGAAACAGTGGTACACAGCATATAGGAGGCTAAAGTTGAATTCAAGGAGGGGACATTGTGATGTTGGTGAAAAGTCACCGGGGCAGTTCATAGTAGCTGAGGCTACAGTGGAAGCTAGCTCTATGTCTGACACTACCACAACATTATCAGTATTTGTAATGGAGAATAACAGAAACTTCACAAAGGAAGATGAAAATAAATATTGTTTTATCACAGAAATACAGGTACCACTAAATCCATTCTAATTATTCCATGAACATAGAACTGACAGCGCTAGAATTAATAATGCAGCATCATGCAGTATTTAATGTTTTCAGCTTACAACTTACATTGCTTCTCAACATGCTGAAAAATGGTTGCAACTATCCTTAATATAAAAAATACCTATTTAATACATAGTCTTACATTGTCTTTGCACCTCATTTTTCGAGGTGAACATAGCTTATTCATTTAAGTTTAGTTATGGTGAACGTGGACTGCATTATGGCTAGGACTCAAAATGAGGATATGGATTGTAATGATAGCGCAAGAGCAGTTATTGGCTTTATTTACAGACTTGCAAATTGACACAATCTACACAGTGATAAGGAAGTGATAAGGATGTTATTGTTGAGGTGACTGAACAAGGCAGTGCGCTCTGTGCAACAGAGACTGTATAGCTGGTTTTAGTCTGCAACGCATATATCTATGTATATAAATAAATCTATGCATATAAATATGCAGCAATTTAAACACCAAAGCTATATAAAGAGTAATATCATTGGTCATATATGCACAGTATACAAATATTATTTTAAAGACAGAGATTGGCTTATATCTTTGACAATGAAAAGGTGCTCAAAACACTGCCATCTTGAATGTTCATATTAAATAATGTGTTGGAGGCATCCTTCTACAATCTGCCTGTCACCTGCCAACACATCCTCTGCATCACCAATTCCCCCTGTCCCCATCATTTGCGTATGCATGCAGGGTTCAGAGTTCAATTCAATCCAGTTATAATAGAACACAACTCCTGCTTTTGAGTCGACTTCTTCAGGGCCGGGTTTATCAAAGCGGTTATATATTAGACTCTTGCTACCAAAGTGGGTCCTGCATTACCCTTTTGGGGTCCATTTGGCAATAATCCCCAACTAACTGTACACTTACCCTTTCTAAAACAGCAGCCATATGAGAAGTCTGCGCCCTAATCATATATGAGATTTAGCAATATGTTTAAGGTATAGGCCTATCTTCTGTATCACGTTGCTTTATTATTTACACACACACACACACACACACACACACACACACACACACACACACACACACACACACACACACACAAAAAGGAAGATAAAGAAGTTACTTTCAAACCGCATTTGCACATCCTTTCTTCTATGTAGACTACATTACATTTAATTTAGCTAATGCTTTTCTCCAAAGCAAGTTTAAATAAGTGCTATAAGATACAAACTCAGAAAAGCAAGAAACATGCAGGCACTTCTGCTTCAAATAAGACAACAAGGCCTTAATAGGGCCTCTTATAAAAAAATAAGAGGCCCTATGAAGCTTATTTTGGTGCTCCCTTTCCTGTAGTGTGTTCTATTGGTTTGTGTGCATGTAAATGGTCTGAAAAGGCTGAAATCCCTGTGTTCCTCTCCCAATCCCCCCCCCCTGCCTGAAACACTTCCATTGGACTCCTTTGCTTACTTCCGTAACATAATGACATCACTGTTACACTCCTGCTTCTATTGGCTAGGGCTACAAAACATTGTGCTGTACGTGATCATCTAAGGGGCGGGGCATCTCTCAGTGGTTGACCTTTCAGAGCAGAGCCGGCCAGCTAACCAATCAGAGCAGACTGGGCTCTGGTTTCAGACAGAAGGTGAAAAGAGGTGCTGCACTACAGGCACTATGAGAAAAATAAAGAGCTGTTTGAACATTAAAGCATGGATACATGTCCCAGGAGAGACACTACATACTGATATACACCTGAGAAAGACCATTATATGTCTTCTTTTATCTCAATTGACCAAGACTTATAAAACAAAATGGCAGTAGTAAATTGGCCAACGTGCCAAGTAAACAAGTGGGTTTTCAGTCTGCAATGGAAGACTTCTAGCTTTCCTGATCTCAATGGAGAGCTTGTTCCACCTTTTGGAGCCAATAGAGCAAACGGCTTCAAAAGATTAAAATTGTTTTTTAGTACTAACTATTTCAAAACAGAAAAACACCTCTATTAAAATGGAAATATACTCAGCCTACCCCTTGTAGTCAAGAAGTCAGAATCCTCCAGATTTGAATTGCAATGCACACAAAAGCAACAGTGGTGATGAAGCCCAGGTAGAAGCAGGATGATCACACTATGACAGCCTCTCCTGTAGCTCAGAAGCTAAAAGGATTTGGACTCCAACATAAACAGGCCCAGGATTAGACCTAAGGTAGCACCTTCAGATCAATATCAAGCCTCATCTGACCCAGATCACACACTAACACCGTGCACATGACCAAAGGCATAAGAATAACTATCAGCTAGTGACAAGCTGGACTGCTCAACACGCACTGTTCCCATCAGCCCTCACATCCTGGGTATTACACTGCTGAGCTCACCCAGCAACAAGACCTGACTTGCAACATAGCCCGATGGAAAGAGCCTGAAGGGTAAACACAGTAGAGACAATTGGCAATTTTATTCTATCATTCCTCTGCTGCGTGCACCGATACTGGATGATCCTCTTCTTAAGTCAAGAGGACAAACGTGTTCCTAGAGAGAAAAGCTATGCGAACAAAGCTTACATTGCTCCACCTGACATGAGAAGAATGTGTTTAAACATCTAAATTACAAAACACATACTCACCTGCCATTTGGTACACCTGTTCAACTGCTACGTATTAGAAAGATAAGATCAGCCTATTACGTGACGGCAACTTAATGCCTTAGGAATGAAGACACGGTCAGGAAATTCTGCTGAAGTTGAAACCAAGCATCAGAAAGAGGAAGAAGGGTGATTTTGACACAATTGTAGTTTAAAGTATTCACTGAAAAAACTGAACTTTTGACCTTAATCAAATGTATTATTTCAACAAATATCACATAACTGTATTAGGTTAGTTGAAAGCAATACTATTAAGTTGAGCCTAATATTTTGTATTTAAACTTAATACTATTGCTTGCAACAAATCTAATACAGTTTTGTGAAATGTTTTGACATAATACATTTAAATAAAGTCAACGTTTCAGTATTTCAATGTTCAAAAACTGGGATTTTCTCTAGGGTTTACAGAGAATGGTGCACAAAGGAGACAACATCCAATGAGCTGCAGTTCTGTGTGCAAAGAAAGTCTGGTCGATGGTGAAGTCAGTGGAGAATTGCTAGGGTGGTTTGAGCTAATAGTATGGCAACAGTGTCTCTAATAAGCACATGCTACGACCGAGGCATGCAGGAGAGCATCTCACAACACGTTGGCTCCCCGTGGAGCAATAGCAGCAGAACAACAAGCATGTCAGAAAACAACAAGAAACAAAGGCTGCAAGTAACACAGGTTCTCCAAAATGAGTGAAAAGGATATTGGTTTGACCAGTTTGGCAGGGTCTTAGTTTCTGCAGCGCCACTTTGGTGTTAACAACATGAAAGCAAGCACGCATCCTGCCTTGTATTAGCATGTTAGGCCGGTATTGGCGGTGTAGTGCTTTGGGGGATTTTTTCTTGCCTCACTTTAGGCCTTGGAACTAATAAAGCATAATTTTAACATGACAGCACAAATGAATTGTTACTGAGCATTTCCATTCCTCTATAAGTGTACCCATTTTCTAATAGAGTTGGGCAGGATTGAGTCCCAAGACCCGGAAATGAGTCAGCATTTTACCACATTTGGTTCCCTCGCTCGAAGACAATGGTTTTTGGAACATATATTTGGTTATATGCTTTAAATCGGGCCTGTGGTTAACACAAGCTGAAGAGATAGCGTTATATTCTACGACAGAAAATATGTCAATAAATACTGAACACTGTCTAAAGCTTCCACTGTATGTGTCATAAGAATGGTGGTTGCTAAGAAGTGAAAAAATAAGACTAATAAACTTCATCAAGACGCACATTAACTATTTAGCTTAGCGGTGTTGATGGACAGCCAAGCGACTGATTTAGTTTGTTTATAGCCTATCATTAGCTTTTAAAGGTGGGGTAGGTAATTTTGGAGAAACCAGCTTGAGTGCGCTAGAATTTGTGCACAGATGGAAGGCTGACAGGCAGGTAGGCCATCCAGTTATTTTAGCCGGGCCGGCTCAGATGATTGGTCGTGCTTTTTACAGCGCTACGGCGTCCGCAGATGAAATTTATTTAAAGCATTTAATATATTCATTGCTATCGGGATGTTAAGAGCATTCGATGGAATATAAGTGTTTCTGAAATAAATTACATACCCCACCTTTAAGTTCTGAAAAATGCACTTAGGCTTTAACAATCATAGGTGGTGTTTATAAATGGAGATTATCCTGCTGAGCAAAACGTGTAAGTATCATAAATATGTGTTTGCCACAGAGCTTATTTTCTGCATTATTCCAAAAACCAATGAATATATCCCATTGCTTTTATGGAGGGAGCCCTTCAGATGCTGACGTCAGGGTTTGCCTACAAAAAGATGTCATCACTGCACCACTCTCAGGATACTTCCAGCAGAATAACTTGCTATGTAATTGAGATGTAATCATCGCTGACTGATTGTTGGACATGACAAGTACTTCCCACTACTCAAATTGACTACCCATTTAACTTATTTCAATCTATTTGGTGACTTTTTGCATGTGGTGGAACAATGACGTTGCATCCCAGATGTTCAGCCAACAAATCTACAGCAACCACATGATGCTATAATGTCAATATCGACCAGTCTCTTGACAAATGTTTCCAGCAAATTGTTAAATCCATGCCACAAAGATCTTAATGCAGTTCCAAATGTAAAGTCAGATATTTTTGTATCAAATGCTCAAAGATGGTGGACTTTCCATCCACTTCTATTCATTGCCAGCCCCCAACCACCACTGACACAGCAAATTCCTCAACCACATGTAAAAGTTAGCAAACTACACTGGACCTATTTACCTTTTGTCATCATTCATTTGTAGCTTTAATTCAGCCATTTCTCTTCATTCCATGCATTCTGGTGAATATGTAGGGACACATTTATTGTGTAAATGTTTTAATTTGTTTAAAGGAAAACACCATATTCAGGCACCAGGTGACAATTTAAAGTGAAAATAATGTAATGCAGTAAGACTCTCAAGCATTCTGTATTGCTTTCAAATATAAGATCAACTTCTTATCTATTGTTATCGCTGCTTAAATACACAGACACACTGAGTTGCAAGGCAATATTTAGTCTTCCCCGTTATTATGTGTGCTTTGTTAGGATGAGCACCATCTTAAAATGTGGGTATGACACATATTAACATCATTTTCAAACAATATTATAACTAGTGAAATTCAGCAGTTGGCCATGTAGTCTACTCCCCGTACCAAATGATACGCCCTTTTCAATACAAGGGTCTTTTTTTGTTCATCCAGCAACAATGCTCTACAGTAACACAACAAATGAGCTGACAATTTACAATTTGGGTGTTACAAATAAATCACACAGGCACTTGAGCTAGTACAGCTAAGGTACAGGATGGCTGCTAGCCTCAGTGACCTGCAAGTCTTCACGCAGGGCAAAGCTCTACGGAGGGAAGGGAAGCACCAGTGCAGCATCTGACAGCAACATAATAATAATAATAATAAATTACATCTTTTATTAGAGCGCTTTTACAGGTGCTCAAAGCGCTTTACAAATACACAAAAACATCACAAACATCACAAACATACACAAAACATACACAAAAACATCATCAGTATTACAATAAATAACGATACAATTAAAAACTATGGAAATGCCCTGATGACCAACTCTGAATACATCTCTTTTTTTTGTGTTTAAAGAAATTGTTTATATCTCATAAAAAATGCATGCTATTGAGAATAAGCAGCATTCAAATAGCTGTAGGATAATGTGGAGTTGAATGATGCACCGACATAAAGATGAAAGACTAGTTCCTAAAGTGCCGAGTCACGATTATTTGCTTTTTTGATATAGCCCTTTAAAAAACCGGGGTTTCGAAAAGCAAAGGCACAGTAAACCGGCAGCCTTTGTTTGGTGTAAGACACTATTGTTCCGTGTCGAAACAAGAAATAAAGTCACGCAATAGCATCCGAACACACACAGCTAATAGCTGTTAGCAACGTTAGCTTACCCGTGTATCCAGGAGGTGCTCCTTTGACTGTAACCGTAGGGGGGAATGTCTCTGTCCTTTCACTCTGTGTAAGGTTTCCGTAAGCCTCTGTGCTTCTCTCACGCTTTTTCTCAGATGAATTGAAATGTGTTACATTCTGCCTGGCCACGCCACATGGGCTGACAGCTTGGTCTGGCCGCACAGTCCAATGAAAAAAGAGGCAGGGCTCGCGGATCCAGTCAGTAGCGGAGCATCTCGCTGAACGCCCCAGTAGTCACAGAGAGCACAAAAAAAAGGAGTCGGGGTTATTAAAGTTCATTCTCTAGCCGGCACCATCCTCGTTCCGCCCCGCTACATCACACTTTACAACATGACAGGAAATGTGCCTTAATAATCCAATAACGTATCAAATATTCTTACGGTTACACTAGATGCATTATTTTGTATTGTATTGGCGAGCTGTATGTATTATTATCGGCCAGTTGCAGCAACCTTGCATGGATGATGGGGGAATGTTGGGTTGGGTGCAACAAATGCTGTTAACCAACATACCACACTGTATTTACATTTTATTAACTGACGTAGCCTAGATGTATGGGTTCAAGAAAAGCGCTATAGAAATATAATGTATTATTATTATTATTATTAATATTTTTAAGCCCGTGCAAAGATCAAAACGTAAAGGGGCATTCATTGCAGATTAAAAGAAGACAGTGTGTCACGTGGAACTGTGAAAAATGTATGTCCTGCGCGAGACTTTGTATTTCAGAGACAAAAACCGCATACGTTTTAATCAGAACTAAAGGTTGTTAACCTTTATCAAGTTCATATTTAATTTAACATTTCATAATACTACATTGAACTTGAATGTACAGACCTGCGTCGTCAGAAGTGCACATATCAAAGTTTCCTGGATTGACAGGTGAGTAACCAATCACTGAGAACGATTGTGAGGTTTCATCCAATCACAACACAGGAGGGAGGGCTTTTCCGAGATAGGGTGATTAAAAGGCGGGGCCTGAGTGATTACGTAGCCAAAAACGCTCGTCTGACTTCTTGGGGTAACTGCAGTTCATCATTTAAAAAGCATGATGTCCTGAGAAAGTGTTTCTCCTACTGAACCACCGTGGTGGCACTGGCAGAGATAAGCTTTACAACGAAGAGCCAGGGATCAATAGTGGAACAGACAGATGTGTTCTTTGGCTAAAAATAAGAAGCAGGGGCGATCCATCCACCCTTCTTCCACATTCAATTCTGATGTAATGCTATACATTTTTCAGAGTATCATATTCTAATTGTACTTTTTGGTATTTATATTTATTTTAAACATTTCCTTTATTTTTTAAATAATACAATAGCAGTTTTTAAAATACTTAACATAACATTAATAGTAATTATACTATTATACTTTCACGTATAATAGTTATATATTTGATTTTAAAATTATATTCTTCCAACAAAAAATTCGTTGTGTGTGTAGGTTGGCAATAAACCTGATTCTGATCATTTTTATAGGCAAGCAACCAAATAAATGCACAATTTGAGTTTTGTAGAAATAGTTGCTTTATAGTAATGTATTTCAAAGCCAATATTATTTCACGCTTTATTCAAAGTGACTTAAAAATACTTTTACAGATATAAAACACACTGCTTGACATGCCTACAGGGGCAATTTTGGGTTTAGAATCCTGCCCAAGGACACTTTGTGATGTTGGAGTGGCAGAAAACAATTAACCCCCTACTATTTCTGCAAGAGGAGAGTGACTGTAAATAGGAGTTGTATTTCTGAGAAATCACATCAAGTAAGAAAAGGGTATTTTACTCTAAAGACCCAACATAAAATAATGCATTCTGGGAAAAAGGTTGTATTTTCCAACCCTTTCCTGATCGGTGTGGGATCACTCTACTTCCTGAGCCACAGTCGCCCAAAGGAGACTACTGACAAAACGTTATTTCGAAAATAAAATGTTGAGGATAATAGACATACACTTAAAACCTATTATGTTCATTTGAACTGTGGTCCCTTAACTGGTCAGCCATGTGAGCTCTGATGCTGGAAGGAGCCTTAAAAAAAGCTCCTAAATTGTAATCTAAGACATAATCAGGTTTAATTTCTTAACCTTGACAAAGCTCCTCAAGAGCCATAGTATATATAAAAGTATCAGTGGGACTCCCCATGAGAAGTTTACTGACAGATTGTCCCTTTTGGGTGTGTCAACTTTTCACATTGTAGTTTCTGATCTTGCACATCCTCTTGTTCGATGGTGTTTTAGAAGGGATCCTCTTCTGCTGGACCTCAGTAGCGAGCCGACTATGGACGGGAGCCCGGGTACCCTCCACCGTCATCTGGACCCCAGCACCACCATCAGCTCCCGCCACTCCAGACTCATGCGCCTTCCTCCTGCTCAGCTCCGCCTCACCTTAGATCAAAAGAGAGATGCAATTTTAATCACTCTAACAAATCCCAGTGTAGAATGTTGGGGAGCTATGTCTTTAAGGAATAATATGTATCTGGAGTTACATTTGTTACATTTGTTGTAATTATGGAGCCAAAAATCTAGAGCTTGCATTATTTTCCTTTTTAACAGATTGCAATGAAAGTTGGAGTGAGATTAGGGCAAGGGCTGAGAAGCAGGTCATCAGTTTCCCCTGCAGATGTGGACACAGGTGTGGATCCAGGACTGTTTAGGAATACTTTAACATCACTGTTAAATGTGTTCCTCACTAGCTGCTGAACCTTTGTGAATAGGATGAACCCATGGTTGTCTATCCCTGTGAGTATTTGATGCAGTTGTTAACCACATATGTGAGAGCTTGAATACAAAACAAGTCTTGAGATTTCTAAACAAGTTACTTTACTATGAAATGCATTTTATTTGTACCATTATTTTCCCTTTGTCATATATCTGTGTTTTTTTTTTATATCTAACCTATTTAAAACCAATTCAATTAATGTTTTAGGACCATTTAGTATATATGGTTGGATTAGTTTAAGGATATTTGGTTAGTGATAGATGTTTTTTAGCTTGTAAAGTGTTTTTGCATAATAAATGAACTCTCTCCAATAGTAGATATGCTAGAAATATATAGTTTAAAATAAATTATGTTTAGTGTGGGACCCTATTCCAAAGCTGGTGTCCTTTTTCACATAATACCATTATGTCTTATCAATGCACTTTTACTGTATTTAAACTGTTTATGAATACAATTCATTCAAGTGATTGCAAATAAGACATATTTGGTATATAGTTTAATTCACATAGCTTCATTTACATAGCAATTTTAGCCAAGCCTTCAAGAGCAATCATGGTAGCAGTGTCTTACCCAAGGAGAATTGGACATTTGGACAGGAGAAAGTGGTGATCGAACCGACAACCCTGGGATCGGTGGATGACCCCACTGTACAGTATGTCTTGGCTCAGAGATGAGGACCTTTATCGGGTCTTTTATCATGCAGATGGTTTATATCGGTGATGAACTCTTTCACCCAGTCAGGACACTTATCGTAAGCGTGCTGAAACCGTGTGCCAGATTTGTTTCACAATTATGATATGGTGCCCTGCTGATCACTGCGTCTGAGGCTGATCTGGCAGCAGCTCGTGTTGAGAAACCGTTCCCTGGAGAGCCGACAGAGACTACAGACACACATTGGGCAACAAGCCTCCCTCTGTGTGGCCTTCACTGACCTTACCACTGCAGCAGCCTTCATACTGGACTGACTGCTTGGGCATTTGGACAAAGCCATATTCTGTGGATGGACTGTAACACATGTCCACTTGTTTGTAGGTTACTGAATGCTGACACACTTTTGAATTCCGTGTTCACAGTCTACATATCTATTTATACATTATACATACATACATTCAGTTTTTTATGCATTCTACTTTTGTTTGCATGTATCCAGTTGACTTATTTCTGCATTTTACTTGCACCATTGTGTCCCTTTCACCAGTCTCTTTTTTTCTTGCCTTATTTTAATTTATTTTAATGTCTTAAGTCTATTGCATGTTGCACTGTTGGAGGAGCCTGGGACTTCAGTTTTGCATTGCCAAAACTACACTGTAGCAATTATGCATATGCTAATATAGCATTAGAATATTGAATCTTCTCACAAGACTACCCTTATGTGAGGACTCTTGTATTTCAGAATGGGTTATTTAGGATTCTGTACAGCAGACGTTTAGTATGTTGGAGCTGTAGTTATTCTGTTGGGCTACCTTCTGATAACATTGATGAACTGAATCCATGGTCCAGTTTCTCCCACAGCTCCTTTAAGGACTGCAGGGAGTCCTCTGAGGACAGCAGAGACCTGGACACACCTGAGAGCTGCATGGAGCCCTGAGACTGGATCACTGTCTTCTCTTTGGTCTTTGAGCTCTAAAGAAGAAGAGAACAGCAGGATAAGACAGCTACATGTTTATTGAATTAAGAGACAAATATTATTTTGTTTTTTTTCAGTAAATTATAAATATAGAAATGATTATAAAAATATATTAAACAAATAGACAACAATTATTTATTCAAACACAAGATGTCGCAAATATATAATTATATTTATAAAACGGACAAGTCAAATCAAGCAATCTGATTGGTTCTTAGCCGTGATATACTGAGCGTATACCACGGGTAGAATTGTAAGTTACTTTTCACAACAAGTCAGTATCCCTCCGCGTCTGAGAAAAATAGTATACCGTTGGGCTGAACTGGAACAAGAAAGCAGCGGAGAAGTAACGGGGCAGAAGCCCTCCTTTTTGACGCAGCGGTCCAGACATAGACATCAAACGGCAAAACATATTCAGTGTGCAGTTCCTTTGGCATTAGGGCAGGGATATCTAGATACTTTTGAAGGTTTAACATAATGAATTGTGCTACTTTTAAAGCAAGCAACGATGTTTTCAAATCTGTAATCAAAGAGGTCCGCAAAAACGCTATCGACCAATCAGATTGCTTGATTTGACTTGTAGCATATACCACGGCCTGTCGTGAGCTATTGCTTAAGTATATCATATATACACAATCAACAGACACATTTATTTATACATATGCACACGTTAAGGCATAAATAAAAGCACAACAACAAACAAAATAACAGTCACTTCAATATCGTTGGGAATATCTTGGTGTACAAATGACGATAAAAGCCTTGATCTTGTCGCGAACAATAAACAACAACACAAAAAGCACCTAAAACAAAAAAATATGGTTCATTATTTAACAGTGAAATGTATCCTTCCCCCCTGTGCTCTGCCAGCCACAGCAGCAGTCCGTTGGGCTCCCCCAGCAGCACCCTGCCCCCCCCCTCACCACCAACGTCAGCGGGCCTCCTCCGCCCCGCCCTGCCTCCTTTCTAATAGCGAAACCTCTCTAACCTCGCACTATTCCTCCTACGAGCCCGGCCCATCCGCCATCCGGCCATGTTGCACCCCAGCTCACTTCCGCCACCAACCCCTAACCGACCAAACAGTTTAGTGCCGGTCCACCCCCGCGGCACCCTACCCAGGAAGCCCCCGCATCTCACAGGGTTACAGTACTCGCAGTTCAGACACAAACTCATAGGATTCCAAGTTGAACACAATGAAACAAACTCCACGCTTTGATTACTGGTCGATTTCTTGTTGATCTATTTGCCTTTCTTTGAACCTAGGAGAAGTGAAGTTTTTCTTTTTCATTAAGATTCATAAGCACACTCCGGAGTAATTATACGTATAGCAGGCTTGATAACCAACATGGCTTTTTTTTTTTCATAGTGCCTGCCATATAGTATTGTAATTGATTTGAAGTGTATCAGACTGTAAATAATGAACATTGCAAAAAATCTAAAGTGTTGTCATAACACATTTAGCTGCATCGTCAAAAATGCCGAAGTCAACATAGGTGTTTGTAAACAAAGTGAAATGCCCCCTTGAATTCCCAGGGTGTGTTTTTATTAGATAAAATGTCATCCTGTAATAATTACTACATGACACACTAAATGTTTATATGGTGTTTCAAACTAGGTCGAAGTAATGTTCTTATAGTTTGCCGATAGGTAAGTGCCCATTTACTTAACATCCCTATGTATGCTTTAGATACATGTTCCAATTTGTAGTATGGTTATTCCCCCTCTGCTTTTATAACAGGAACTGAAACATTGATGTAGTTCCCTGTAAAAACACTACATATTGTACAAGGCCTTTGTGTTGTGATGAAGTAGCTTTTCATTAAGCTTTCCCAGATCACAGTTTATCAAGCCTAGCCGAGTGAATAATAAAAATGAATACACATAACATGAAATACCTAAAGCTCCTTGCAGAAGTAAGCCAGTTGAAGAAGTTTTTCCAAAAATGACTCGGAATAGTCATGAAACAGTCTAACAGCTTCAGATCCCCCAAATAACCCATGAGTAATTTGAAAAATGGCACCACACTTATGCAGCACAAAATGGAAAGAAATCAGATATAATTAAAAAGCAATCCTGGGCTGCCTTCCCACAAGTGACATGCTTTAACATCTGCCTTATTTTCTCTGGAGGAGAGCTCACTTCAATTCTCACGTGGGACTGTCTTCATAGAAGCTTAGTAATTTTCGAGGAGGTGATGAGGTCGGTGTATGTCGGCTTGGATGCTACACTGGAGAAATGTCGCTAGCAACTGGAACATCTCACAGCTGGAGACATCTGAAAGCAGCACTTTACCAGTCAGCAGTTGCAAAAACGGTGCACTCAGTCTGCCAAACTGTGCCACCCCAACAACCCAGAATATGTTTTTTCGTGCCAACAATAGTGTGATTTATAACGATTTGATAATCGTTTAACAATTTGAACCAAACATGCTGCAAAACAGCGATGAATGGCGTATAAGTATGCTAGTGGAGGGACAGAGTGTGTGGTGTTTTTCTGCTGGGATGACTTCTTGGTTCTCTCTTGTCTTTAGATACCAGCCCTGTTGATATCCATTCAGCCAACCTATCATGTATTGCCCAGCCTCATTCGGGGATTCTGATGTGGCACATTGCACAGGCAACGTCGCTTACCGCCACCAATGAGTCCCCTACGTAGAAAACCTCAACAAGCATGAGCTGGAGAAACAGAAGAAGCCCAGGTACTATTTTCTCTTCTTTCCCTTGTGTGAAAACTGACCGCGGCGCCCGTGCCCTCTTTTCTTGCCCTTGTGTCCCTTCCCCCACCCCCTTTGATTCTTTTTTTTTTTGGTTTTCCTCGCTCCCTTTCTTACAGAGCGTGACCGTCCCTGACAGGCAGGACTGAACAACCGCTTCTGGTTCAGAGTTCAGAGCGGGCGGGGCCCGTCCGCCTCTCCGCGGCCCCCGTGTCGCTCCTAGAGGGCCGAGTTTCACCAACACCAGCACATGGCACGCACACCAACACCACCAACCAGCCNGACGTTATCGTGGAGGACAGCGAATAAAGTGTTGCGCAATGCGCTGTTGCGCACTGGATTTACGTGGCATTTATGTAAACAAGAATTTTTTGCTGTCGATTTTGGTGAGTCCAGTGTTTGTTATTTACTCAGCCATGTAACACAAATTAAAATGCAGTGTTTAATGTTACTGTATGAGTTCCAATAGAAAATACAGTTGTAAACCTCTCTTTGTGTGTCTTTATTATGACGTAACGACTAGTCGACTAGTCGACTACTATTTTGAAAAACTAGTCGACTAGTAAATATTGGTAGTTGTGAAACCCCTAGCACACACACACATTTCCTATTAAAATGCTGTTGCTCTGGGGTCCCCTGCTGAAAATGGCTGAAAATCCAATTGCACAAAATTAGTTAATTCATCACAGATGTCAGTATCTACACACCTGCAAGCACAGAAACAAACCTACAGCATGAACCCAAGCAGAGTCCATGATGATGACAAATGACGAATTGATGAATCATGCGAGTTACTGAGGCACAATCCAGCTCTGACAATGCACGATTATTGTAACTGCCTCGGGCACTAATGATGTACAGCTTATCATGATTCCAAGCTTTAACACACAGGCCTTTGGGCAATTACGAGACATTGACATACATTTTTTTAATGGAAAACCCTTCATCTCTCAACAGATAACATTATATCATCACACACTCTCATGCAGCACACTTACGTTTTCAGACCATAGAGTGCTACTCACTACTCATCTGAGCACTTACATCAAGCCTGTGGTCAGGAGGGTGGTCACTTGTGAATGAAATTAGAAAGGTGCTCTAAAGCGCTCCAATAAAGCGTATAGAGAGTGTGGACAGTCCATCTTCTCAAATTGTAATACTATCACCTTCACTTTCACTCCCTCAAGAGCGCCAAGGCTTTGTCTACAGCCTCTGTGTCTTTAATAATCACAGGCTCAGTCCAACTCAATCTTTTTGCTCCTCTTTCTTATTTTTTTTAGCTCCCTCTGGGTGTATATGTGCCTTTTTCTGAGCTTATTGAAATAGTTTTTGCTTTAACAAGTGTCACTATGAAATTACATGATACCTTTAACACATTATTAGACCATGGCAGGCACTTTGAAACACTGTCTTCTCCCATAAATCCTGATGATTACTCTCATAAATGCCGACTAGTCTTATGCCATAAAGTAATAATAAAAGAAAGAGCCAAGGCCCCAGGAGACAAGATATATATGTTGTATTTGTATTATCATACTGAAACCTTATACTCTCAGCCTTATTTACAAGTATGCAGTGTACAAAGAGGTCTGTGCTGTGGAAAAAACTGGAACAAGTAAGTAATAATGTGTTTTTTATTAAGTTTGAATAACAAAATAATTGAATCCGTCATGCCTACATTTTGTCCTCATATTGTAGTACAGTTTGTTCAGCTCACTTAGACACTGGAGATCCCGTTACACAGGGGTTAATGGACAGCACAATTCCTTTGCCTGGCTGAACATGGGGGAAGTAAATAAATCACAGCCCATGCTCAACTCTAGCTGTATAGATGGATGTACCCTGGCAGAATCAGGTTAGGCGAAAGGACTCTTCATAACTCTCAGTAAAGGATAGTAAGACATTACACAACTAAATGGGTAGCTGGTTTGAAGTATATACAGTACAACCTATTTTGTTCACACTATATATGCTTCCGTTAGGCAATATTATAAGGAATCATTCTGTAAACTTTCATTGTTATGCGGATGATACTCAATTATATTTATCAATCAAGCCTGATGAAATTAATCATCTAAATAAAATTCAAGACTGCCTCAAGGACTTAAAAACGTGGATGACCTTACATTTTTTGATGTTAAACGCGAGCAAAACTGAAGTTAT